ATCACTGTTGTTGGAAGAACGGCTTTACATGTTGTTGCAGGGCGTGTTACAGGCCAGTACTACCGGGACAACATCTTGGCAGTCCATGTTGTGCCGTTCGCACGACGTCATGGCCGCCGTTTCATCTTCCAGGATGACAACGCAAGATGTCACAGGGCCAGGATCGTTACAGGTTACCTCCAACAACAGAACATCACCACATTACCTTGGCCAGCACTGAGTCCCGACCTCTCCCCCATCGAGCATGTCTGGGACATGCTTGGACAGAGGTTACGTCAACGTCAACAACGTCCTGCCAATGTCCAAGAACTTGCTGCTGCGTTGCAACAGGAATGGGACAATCTGGACCAAAATGACCTTAGACGTCTCATTAGGAGTATGCCACGTCGGATCAATGCTTGTTTGGCAAACAGAGGAGGATTTACCCGTTACTGACTTGGTTGTGATGCTGTGGTAACTTTGCTGTTTGACCCCGGGTATCATTTTACCCTTATAATGGTCAGTCTGTGCCTTACTTAGTCTAACGATCATTTGGAATAAATCGATGAATGTGAACTTCATTGCATTTTGTCATTTGTTTCTTCGTCAGTTTCATTAGGTGATTTTAATAACACTTAAAAATCAAATATCCCCTACTTTTTTTGAATAGTATATTTGACTTTATAGGATTGCAGTGTATGTGTGTACGACTTTATAGGATTGTTGAGTATGTGTAATTGACTTTACAGGATTGCAGTGTATATGTATGTCACTTTATATGATTGCGGAGTATATGTGTTTTGCCTTTGTACATGGATTTAACTTTATAGGATTGCACTGAATTTGAGTGTATTTGACTCTAAAGGTTTGTTGTGTATTTGAGTCTAAACTTTGTGGTGTATTTGACTTTAAGGGTTTGTGCTGTATTTGACTTTAATTATATCACTGTAATATACAACAAACAAGATTAAATATGTAAATATGTCAGATTATTGTATTTCGAACTGGTGGTTCGTGGTTTATTTCAAATCTTGGCTTACTCAAACCAATACTTTCACATGTTCATTTTGAATTTAACAGTTGTCCACATCCACTTAAATAAGCCTTTCAAATAAATTTGACAGACGATTTCCTAAACTTTTGTATCGGATTACAAGTAATGCGTGTATAACATACAACCCAACGACGTAATATTGTCTAGCCATTGTCCAATACCCAATTGTCTTAAAATTAGATATTTAATACTGAACAATCATTATCAAGATTACAGACCCGCTTCGCATCACAGACGATTCGTTCATTCGCTGGGGCTTAACGTCCACTTTTCCCGACATTCCTAATCGTCGGGCTGCCGATTAGGGAAACTCTTACATTTTTGTCCTGCATGCGTTCCATGGGTGATTTTCGGGGAATCCAGTATTTTTCTAGTAAGATTGCCATACTTTTATTGGCACTGGGAAAGTATCTTTAAGGTATGATGCAGCTACCCAAAAAAGCTTTCAAAAAATGAGCCTCTGGCTAGCAGACAAGAATTGTGTAAATTGTAACATCGTACATGTATGCATTTATATTGAAAGTAAGAATTACTGAAAAAACCTAATAAATATTTCTCTTTTTGTATGTGTGGTTTTATTTTTGGGGTGGGGGGGGGGGCGAAAAAATATATGGTTAATAAATTAAAATGAAAAATTGGCGGAATAAAATGGTACTCAAAGTGAGCACTGCTCCCGAGGGTGATACATCGCAGACCATCATAGCCAATCTGACAGAACATTTACATGAAACTCGCTTCTACACCTCTGTGTAGATAATACACATATAGGGCTCACTCCTAGAGGTCTCCGACACATATGCGTGTTGGCCTCTCCCCAAGTTGTCCACGACACAAATGTATAATAAACATTATAATGTCTCCAATACAAATCGCTTCTGCGCTTCTGTGTAGATAATAAACATTATAATGAATGATTAATGAAGTAATTACTTTAGTCAATAAAACGTCATCGATCTACCTATTGATATCCAGGATATTGTCATTCATATGACATTGTCAACCTCACTGTGCAACATGTCGGGTTTTAAACACAGTCTCTCAACTATTTGGAGAGACTTTCTGACTCAAACCTCACTCCACGGCTGTAAATACACAGTCGCCCGTCAGCACCAAGTCGCGAAAAGACGTCTGTGGTTTCTATGTATTGGTATAATGGTTGTAATCCTCTTGTACACAACTTGTAAGTTCTATATCAAATATCGGGAGTATAATTATGTGACCAAGACAAGTGTGACTTATCATTCTGAATTGGAACTTCCAGCTATCACGCTCTGCAACGTACACTCGTTTGATAAAAATAACTTTAATAAATCCGATGAACTTTTTCTGGAATATTTTACATACACTTTTGATATCACTGCTCCGTTTAATATATCTGAATCTAAATGGCATGGGTTGCGAGTAAGCGAGGAAGAATTAAACAGACTGGGATTTGGGATGAATGATATGATTCATTTTGGAGTAGTAGATAATAATTTACTGTGGAATAATACATCACACTTTACTGTTACTTACAGGGCACCTGCAGAAAAATGTTTCACTTTTAACAGGAGATATTCCAATAATAAATATCAAAGCCCGCTGATGTTTCATGACAAGAGTTTTTTAAATCTCTTTCTGGATGTTAAACAAAATAGATATGCATTTAGTTCTATGACAGCTGGAGTCCGCCTTCTTCTGCATCACCCAGATGAACCAATTCATGCTCATTCTCCATCAACCGTCCTTTCTCCAGGACACGTGTATGAGATTCAGATCTCTGAAAAACGATATAATTATTTACCCAGGCCATACAATTCTTACCAGAATCAGGATTGTATAGAGGTTGGCAAGACAAATTCGTTCAGTGAAATCCATTCACCGTACTCGCATGCAAGATGTGTTATTAAGTGTTTGACTGATCGTACCCAATCGTTGTGCGGATGTATTACAGAATCACTCTTTCATGACAATACCAGTGACTTCTGTACAATCGCTGAAAGACAGTATTGTGCATTGAATGTTTGGAGAAAATACTTTCATTATACTGCTGGCGATTTATGTGGCTGTAAGAGACCGTGTTCGGAAGTTAAATATGATTACGAACTTTCCTCCGTTCTATTTCCAGCTGCCTCCTTCATGAATACCCTGACTCGGGCAAATCTGAGCCGGAATATGGCACACGCTCGAAACAACTTAATGTATTTAAAGATTTCCCTTAAAGACACGATGGTCACCACCAATAGCCATATACAGCAGTTGGATTTCGGGGACATTATCGGTCAGCTTGGGGGCTACATGGGATTCTGTCTTGGAGCTAGTCTGTTAACTTTGATGGAATTGGTCGAGGTCGTATTGATGAGTCTGAAAGCACTGATAATGCACCAACATTTTAAAGTTAACAAGCAAAATGTAGCTCCGTCAAATCCTGGTTTCAACATCAAAACTGTCAGTGGCGGTATGAAAATGGCGTCTAGATAAATTGTAATGAGTAGGAATGTGAACGTTGCTTCTGGAATCTTCTCGGAGCGGAACAGTAGGGCGCAAAACCCCATTTCTTTTCATTTCTGGAATCTTCCGTGTCATTAGTTGGGTTAAATTTAAGGTAGTATTTTTATCTGTTAAGAATGGGTTATGGGTAAATTAGCTTTGAACTAGTTAAAATGATGTGAGGTGGATTTAGACGAAAAGAGGCCCTAGGTTGTTCCAATCACCCACCCTCACGACAAGAGGAAGAGAGGCTCTAGGCTGTTTCAATCACCCACCCTCACGACTAGAGGAAGAGAGGCCCTAGGCTGTTCCAATCACCCCCACCCCCGTCACGATTAGAGGAAGAGAGGGTCTATTATAGGCTCTTTCTATCACCCACCCTCGCGACTAGAGAGGCCCTAGGCTGTTCAAATCACCCCCACCCCCTCACGACTACAAGAAGAGGGGCTCTATTATAGGCTCTTCCAATCACCCACCCTCCCGACTAGAGAGGTCCTGGGCTGTTCCAATCACCCCACCCCCTCACGACTACAGGAAGAGGGGCTCTAGGCTCTTCCAATCACCCACCCTCACGACTAGAGAGGCCCTAGGCTGTTACAATCACCCACCCTCACGACTAGAGACGCCATAGGCTTTCCCAATCACCCACCCTCACGACTAAAGAGGCCATAGGCTGTCCCAATCACCCACCCTCACGACTAGAGAGGCCATAGGCTGTTCCAATCTTCCACCCTCACGAGAAGAGGAAGATTAAAGTATGTTTAAACACAATTTAAAAAAAATCGAGGATGGCGAAATGTAAAATCGTTAAAATAAAGATATTAGAGTGCATTATGTAAGATTTAGATAAAGACCTGCTATAATAGTTCCACAATAGTTTATTCTTGGTGAGTTGTTACTGTTACCGTACTTTATAGCTACATTTGTTAATCTCATCGGTGCTTAAGGGACAATAACACTCTTGCTGGCTTGACAGCTCCAGAAAATAAAAAAATAGCCTGATTCCAAGTACTAGATGTGTTAGTGTCCTACCTGTTGTGTAAATTATCCATTAAATCTTATTTTACTTGTCCAAAGGGTTCAAAAATATTTTTAATTCCAAGTCACATTTGAAAAGCTTTACGTCAGGCTTTTCAAATCATTTAGTTGAATTTTTCCAATTATTTAAATTAGGTGTGTTAAGATGAAATTTGTATCATCAATTAATTGGAATATTGTAAAATAGTACAATTTGTTGACCAGAATAAAGATTTTGACATATTATTCAGTTACAACAAGAGTGGTATTGTAACTTTAAATCCATTTAATTCCCAGCCATGGGATAGGGTACAATTTGTCATGTGAATAGATATCAATAAATGATATATTATACACTGGTGTTGGTTTGTTTTTTCAACTTATAATATTTACATACTAAAGTTTCATAAGGGTAGCCACGGTGACTCAGTGAATAAGAGATTGGTTCTCTAAGCAATTGAAATCGAAATAAACAAAGAAATTGACAATGCTATCACCCTTTTATTATGTTGGTGCGGTTTCCATTCAACGTGTGGCTACTTCATGATTAGCAAGCAGTTCAAGCAAAAAAGCCCCCATTTCGTTTTGTTTTATAAAGGGACATAACCCAGGAGGTTGTATATCCAGAATCATATGGGGTATCGTGATATTTATAATGTTTTAACAATCGACGGAGACGTTATCTGGTTTACATTCATCCGGGTGTTTAGTACATAGCACTGCCTGATGGGATGCTTTGAGTCTGTCAATGTAAGACTGTTTAACAGAATCGTCATGGCAACTGTTATACTGATAATCTGGTGAATCCTTTCCTGAACCAATCTTGATATTAGGCACTGGAATAAAAACATAGAATTCTAATGGGCAATATAACATCTCGGTCATCAAACATAAGCGAATATTATAAGACACTGCTGGTGCTAAACAAATTATTATGTGACTCTTTAACAAGATACTTTTGAAAAACTTTTTTGCATTATGTACCATAAAACGGGACAAACGGCTAGCTGGCAAAACGTGTCTTATCACATAGCGCATAACTTTATACCAAGAATAATAATCTCTCTCTCTCTCTCTCTCTCTCGTTATATAACTCTTGAAATGAAATGGGATTTACCGGTCCTACTCTTTTGCATCAACAAGACTCCCAATAATATAATTCATAAACATTATATACAGAGTTTATTATAGGTATAAACATAACCCTTACATGTACAGTTTGGTAAAGGTCCCGATGGTAACCAATTACCACTGGCTCCACATATATACCATTGTTGTACAGAATATGAACCCAATTGAAGAGTAAATTCTTTATTACAATACACTAAACAAACTCTAGCATATTCTGTCTTCCATCCATTACATACACGAGCACCATTAATTGGTATGTTTAGTTCAGGGCAAGGATGAGCTAAAATATATCAAATAGATTTAATTAACACCATTACTAAAACAGTAGTCGGTATGTTTAATTCTGGACAAGGATGAGCTAGCTAGAATATGATATAGAATTAACATCTTGAGCTGATATGTTTCATTCAGGACAGGGATGGGCTAGAATATATAAATAGATTTTATTAACATCACAGAATGGGAACCACTAGTCTTCTAAACTAGTTAGTGAGAGAATGGGGTTTAACGCCCACTCAAAAAAAATAGGCCATTTCGAGACTAACATGTTTCAATTTTATTTCAGTAATTCGCTTGCATGTGGGGTCTTTACCAGGGAGAGGAAACCGAAGGTCCTGGAGAAAAACCACGAGGTTCGAATGTCAAGCGGGGAATTGAAACCACGCCACTCAATGACATACATTTCACACGCACGCGATAAGCCATTAGACCAAACAATCCTCCTAACATCTGGAAATGGTCTTAAAATTTTTATATATTAAATATTGGATATCATGAGCCCAAATTTCCACGGTAAGATAACAATATCAATATCGATCGCTGTATTGTCGGGGTCGTTGTTATGCGCCACTAACACGGGATAAAGCTAATTCCGGGGAAATTTCTTGGCGAACGCCGGGATCGAAATGGGACCTACTGTGGCCCCGGAATAACCTAGTTCGTAAGTTCTAAGACATTTGGGGGCTTGGATGGCTGAATGGTTAGCACATGCGCGCTGTATCATAAAGTCTGTCATTGAGTCAACTGGCGTGGTTTCGATTCCCCGGTTGTACGTGACAAGGAGTAGGGTCGCCTGTCCAACCTCGTGGGTTTTCTCCGGGTCCTCCAGTTTCCTCTCACTGCTACAGACCTCTACGCCCAAGCGAATTATTGAAATAAAATTGAATGTTAGTCCTGAAATGACCTAGTTTGTGTCGAGCGGACGTTAAACGCCATCTCTCTCTCTCTCTCTCTCTCTCTCTCTCTCTCTCTCTCTCTCTAAGACATTTATATTTCGATTCTCTTTTGTTTTGTATGAAAGACCAAACAGCTCTTTATTTAGTGTTCTTGGTTCTTAGTTCTTAATTCATAGTCCTTAATTCTTATTTCTTCATTTTTTGTCGTATTTCGACATTTGTACACTAAAATTAACATTTGTACACTAAAATTAACATTTGTACACTAAAATTAACATTTGTATCTTAAAATCAATATTTGTTTTACAAATCAGACGTTTGTCATATCAGATTTGTAAAATTATTATTGTTTAATATAATTGCAGTAAATCAAAAAAATAATCTACAATTACATTTCATCATACACATACAACGAAAAACAAATCTCAAACAACAAATTTCCAAATACGTATCTCCAAATAAGAATTACAGACTATGAATTAAGAATTAAAGTTACAATTTCGTATTTTTAAGTTATATTTTTAAAATGTATTAAAATAAAGCCCTAAAATAGATGGTATCTACAAACAGTCCTACCTTGTTAAAGAATAATCCTATTAATCCTATAATTCACTATTGCCAGTTGAGAAATTGGCAAAAATTTCATTTTCAACTTCAAATTCAAACGTTTGAAGATAGCTATTCTATGGTGGGGTATAGGAAAACAAGGAAGGTAATTGGAAGGTAATGTGTTTTATTTCCGGTGTGAAGATTTTTAAGTGTGAGAAAGATAACCTATGATCGTATAATAGTGAGTTGACAACCTATTGAGCAAAAGACATAGAAATCATTATGTTTTGACTTTCTTAGAAAATATGAAATTGTAACATTAAGAACACTGAATAAAAAGCTGTTTAGTCTTCCATAGTTTTGTGCATTATCTTAATCATTAGCTTAAAGATCCGCACTACTTACGTCTAATTTTTACGGTAAATTTACATTCCGTTTGGAGTCCGTTGAATGGTTTGGTGGCCACGTACTGAACAACATGGTCACCCCATGGCGCCACAATAAAGCCTTCTGGGTAATTAGTTAACATTGTGATGTTCTTATTGAATGGATCTGAGAATTTTGGGATAGACCATGTGACATTGTATGTAGCATCTTTGGTATAAATCAGTTGATCTTTAGAACATCCGGTCATTGTAGGGGGCTGAACATCTGAATTAAATAAGTAAAGCAATATATTTATAATCCAATTAGTTCACATATTTCATCTGTTTATAAAAGATATATTTAAAATATCTTCCTCTCACATATAGTACTTGGGGCCTTAGGTGCTTTATCCCGTGGCAGTAACGCATTACTACGAGCGGTGAGGGTGGGTGGGTGTACAAATCAAGGAGATGGGCTCGAGTCTCACGTCGTTACATATCCATATTTCTACCATTAATTCCTAACTATTAATTCCAACATTCTGTTAATTTGTCATTATTATTTGTATGTTGACAAACATTGATTTTAACGACAAACAGAATCACAAACCATTTTCACAATTAATCCCACTCCAACCAGGTTGACATTGACATGTATAGCTTTCTACACCATTTATACAGCTTCCTCCATTTTTACATGGATTACTGGAACATGTATTAACATCTAAAATTAAAATAAAATACAAGTTACAGGAACATGCATTAACATCTAAAATTACAATAATATACATGTTACTGGAACATGTATTAACATCTAAAAATATAATAATATACAAGTTACTGGAACATGTATAAATATCTATAACCTACAAGTTATTGGAGCAAGCATCAGTATTCATCATTAATATTAAAGTCAATGAATTATGTATTAGTATCTAAAATTAAAACCAACCATGCTCTCATTATAAAAGTATATAATAAACTTGTACAATTCGTTATAAACATAGACCTTACTTCTACATTTTGGCAGCGGTTCTGATGGTAACCAATGGCCACTGACTCCACAGACAGAGGGACCGTAAGAGAGGGAGAGAGAGGGGGATAGTCAGAGAGAGAGAGAGTGGGGGTGGGGATTGAGTTGACACCTAGTTAAAGGACAATATTGGTGTCAGTCATTATCACATATGTGATAGAACTGGTTAAACACGTTCCAAATATTATTTTTTTCACAGAGATCATTGTTACGTTAGATGAGTAATCAATGTTTCAACAATAGGAAGTGACGAACGCAAAAGGAAAACACGAGTTATCCCTCTATAAAACTGGCTGAAGTGACGAATGATAACAGATACATGGGGGAATTTCTGCTCACTAATAATTCCTTCGAAGACCAAAAGTTGTTATATGGGACTGTGAAAGGATATCTGACAATTCATAAACAAAATTGACTGTCACTAGATAAGAGAACTAATGAAAGTATAGAATGAATAAACACCCGTGAATGTACGGAATGTTTCTATTTTTCTCGTGTTCTCTTATCTAATGACATTCAATTACTTTTTTGAATTGTCAAATATACTCTTACAGTCTCATATAACAACTTTTGATCTTCGAACGAATTTTTAGTGAGCAGAAATTCGCCCATGTATCTGTTATCACGCGTCACTTCAGCCAGTCTTATAGAGGGATAACTCGTGTTTTCCTTTTGCGTTCGTCACTTCCTATTGTTGAAACATTGATTACTCATCTATCGTAGCAATGATCTATGTGAAAAAATAATATTTGGAACGTGTTTAACCAGTTCTATCACATATGTGATAATGACTGCCACCAATATTGTCCTTTAATATAATCCAGACAGAGAGAGGGAGATCATGCCCTCAGGTCATTTTAACTAAACTCATCAGTTATACGTGTACATACATCTGCATCTTGGCATAAGACCACTCCAGCCGCTATTATGCTGACACGTTCTTCTTGAAGATCCAGAGGTCATTCTATAATCGTGATTACAGCTGTATGTAACGGTGCTACCATAATTCAGACTACTGTAGGATCTTCTTCCATTCTCCAATGTAGCGGGCGTGGCACATGTTACAGCTTAAAAATAAAATAGCTGATGTAGCTCTATTTATTACAGAAAATAAATGTAATTAGCTGCAGGATCTGGCGAAATTTTCTATATCATGGATTGTGATTGGTGCAATAATCTGGAGTCTACCAATCACGTGATTACTGACCGAGATGGTTTGGGCTAAAATGGAAAAAAAGGTTGGTATAATTTTAGTTGGACTGTTCAAAATAACACGTTAAATTTCTGGAATCGAATATTGGTAATGATATATAATATAACTAATTTTTATCACAATTAATAATATGTATCAAAAAATATATCTTACTTTTATCACAACATCGACCATATTTGCCAGCTACACATATACAACCAGTATATGAAGATAAGTATGTACCACCATTGTAACAAAACGTATTACAGTCGGCATACTCGGATCCTTCGTTCTGACCTGTAGCACAGTGAGCAAATTCGGTACATCCTTTTTTATTTGATATCCAAACCTTTCTGTCTCTGCGATGTCGGCCGTAACATTGTTCTGTACAATCAGACCATTTTGACCATTCAGCCCATCGACAATTACAGAAATCCCACGTTGATGCACGTTCAGCAACGACATCAACTAAAGCTACTATCAATACTAATAGAATTGACCACTTATTCATGGTATCTAAAATATATTATTTCGCAGTAAATATATAATGTGAATATTATTGTCGAAAGTATGAATTTACATACTTTGCGCGAGTTTTCGTTCATATTCTAGAAAACATACCGGCTAGTCCGGAGGCTGAAGGGGGGGGGGGGGGGTCGCCACCCGAGCTGTGAATTTATGAGACCAAGTATTTCTAGACCAGTTTTTTGGCGTAGATTCCGAATCTGGTTAATGGGGGTCCAATGTCTACAATTGGGGGGGGGGGGGCAGTGTCATTATGTTGACATAAATGATTATCATGTTATATATTAATAAAACATAAATTTCTAGGACTGTCCATCTTTAAAGAAGTGTGTATGATGCCCTTGGACAACTGTTTTGATTTGTGGGGAGGTGGGATTGGGGTAGCAGGTGAGCGTAGATTCCGAATCTGGGTGATGATCAGACGTTTGAGGGGGCGTTTTCGAGATATATAGGGGTCCAATGTCTACAATTGGGGGGGGGGGGCAGTGTCATTATGTTGACATAAATGATTATCATGTTATATATTAATAAAACATAAATTTCTAGGACTGTCCATCTTTAAAGAAGTGTGTATGATGCCCTTGGACAACTGTTTTGATTTGTGGGGAGGTGGGATGGGGGTAGCAGGTGAGCGTGTATGGAGGGTGTGTGTGTGGGGGGGGGGGGGTAAAATTGGCGGGAAATTATGATTTTCTTAGAGCTTGGTAAAAACATTACTTTCTAATTCCACTGCACACCTGTATGGGGCGAGGGGAGGGGGGGGGTGTAAATTTGGGGACAGAAACCACTTGGTTTAAAATTAGCCAATGAAGCGGTCTGTTACCGCGAGTTCTTGGCGTGTTCTGCACGAAACTGTGGGTAAACCCCCAGAAACGTCAACGCTGATTGATTAATCAATGTCTGACGTCATATGGTCAAAAGCCGCTCGTATGACTCCTGACGCGACCTCCCAGTACAACTGGTCAGATCTTCATGTAGTGTAGGCCATCGAAAGTATAAGAAAAACCGAACGAAATATACATTTGTATTTTAACCGGTTTGCTTTTATGTTCCCTACGAATTTCTGGAAATGTACATAAAAACAGTAAATCAGAGAAATGTTTAGATATTAGTTTATGCTTAATCTTCATCAGAAGATTCAAAATCAAAGTTCATAATATGAGCGGGATAGATATCTTCTGGATGACAAATCAACAGCAACATCATTTGTCTGTCCCAGCTCTTTAAAATTGTTAGAAAGTTGGAAAAAGAAAGACAGATAGTCATTACCACTGAAAGCATGTAGGCCAAGATATTCTTGACACTTCAATATTAATCTTGATTGGATAAAAAAAATATATCAAGATTAGTATTGAAAGTGTCGAGAATATCCTAGAACTGACAACAAACCATGAGGACACCAAAATAGCTAACCTACTCCTCTTCGCATTGCAAATTAATGGAGGCGCTGAAACAAATTGTATTTTCCGTTCTTGCTTGGGCAAAATAGACATCCTAATCATTCTCCTCGCAAACAATGATCCAAATATACACATTCTGGTCGATAATGAAACGGGCAAAGGTAGAAAATATCGCGGAAGGCGACATACATCAGTAGATGACGCTAGAAGGAAGATTTTCTGGGTGAAAAAAATAACAGGCCTTTTTTATTACCACCTTACCGTAGTGGTCTTTTGCTGCATGGCTGGAATGAAGATTTATAACCAAGCAGATATTTATCCCGCTCATATTATGACCCCTGATTTTGAACTTCTGATGAAGACTAAGAATAAACTAATATCTAAACATGTCTCTGATTTACTGTGTTTTTGATCTACATTTCCAGATCTCTTGTGAAGTACCTTTATAATTTAATATATTGAATGACGAAATAGGTACTAAACGAAAATGCTAGCGAGAAACCACTTTCAAACTTGTAAGGTCAATTTTGAACCAAACAATTTCTGTCCACAAAAACACATGTTGCCCCTTCCCCCCTTCGGGCACCCACCCCCACACAATGGGAATCTTATAAACATATTTATAGATGTTTCATTTGCAAGCTCTAAGAAAATCATCATTTAAATCGACGTGAGCTCATTTCCTGCCAATTTTACACCCCCCCCCCCCCACTCCTCACACGGAAACCTGCAACCACCCCACCCCACTTCGCCACAAATCAAAACGGTTGTCCAGAGGCATCATACACACTTCTTTAAAGATGGACAGTCCTAGAAATTTATGTTTTATTAATATATAACATGATAATCATTTATGTCAACATAATGACATTGCCCCCCAATTGTAGACATTAGGCCCCCATATATCTCGAAAACGCCCCCTCAAACGCCTGATCACCACCCAGATTCGGAATCTACTCAAAAAACTGGTCTAGAAAAACTTAGTCTTATAAATTCACAGCTTGGGTGGCGATCCCCCCCCCCCCCTTCAGCAACCGGACTAGGCTACAACATATTAATTGACAATTAAAATGTATGTACATCAAGTTTCACCGGGGCTGTATTAAAAGGACTGCAGCCAGATCGAGCCCCCAAATTATTTCGAAATTTTTGCACCATTAATAAATATATGTCATTTATTATGTGGTATAATATTATGTTTGAGTCAAATGAATCTATCTATCTACCTACCTAGCATAGAAATTACTGACCAGAATATGAGACCCTGGTATCACCCGTCTATCTCTCGTCAAATCCACAATTACACGTTACACTGGTGGCTCTTATAGCTACAATTCAGTGAACCGGAAGTATGGTTGTATAAGCACATATGACATAGACACGTCAGTTCTGTGTCTCAAGGCTATAATACTCCATTGATATAGATTTGGAGTTGGCCATGGTGACTCGGTAAGAAAGCCGCATTCGGTGGAGAGAGAGAGAGAAAAAGAGGGAGATGGGGTTTAAAGTCCACTCGACACAAACTAGGTCATTTCGGGACTAACACATGGTTCAATTTTATTTCAATAATTCGCTTGCGCGTAGGGGACTTTTGCAGTGGGAGGAAACCGGAAAATCCGGAGAAAACCCACGAGGTTGGACAGGCGACCCTACTCCTTGTCACGTACAACCGGGGATTCGAAACCACGCCAGTTGACTCAATGACAGACGTTATGATACAGCGCGCACGTGCTAACCATTCGGCCATCCACCCCCCACCACCCCCCGCATTCGGTGGTTCGGTACCGGGATCTGATAATGGTCTAGTCCTTGGGATGGACCAACAGGTGAGGTTCCGTGCACACATTGTCGTGACACAAAATAACCCTTGTCATCTGGAAGTCAGAGAGTAAAGGGAAGGTAAAGGTCATGTCCGGCTACATGACTGTCAAACCCCATTTCACTATATTTTTATATGCGTCTGACAGAAGCTCTTGCGATTTAATTTTCGGCAATTTTAATTAGAATAGTTGAAAGAACAATCGGTTTATTATATCATAATGGCCAAGTCAATGGAGTCGCACTAATGAAATTTAAATGAAATGTTGTTTAACGTCCTACTGTTCTGCTCCGATTGGATTAATGAAGACGGACATGCATGTACGCCGTACAGTGTGATGTAAGAAGAAGTACTCTTATATCGAATTCCAACTGTCAATGGATCTTTTACGTGCACGGGGCCGTGGTTTTTCCGGACTACCCCAACGTCTAGACAGCTGTCCTTGTTCGACCTCCCGTCCCAGTGGCGGATCTAGAGTGGAGGGTGGGTTCCAAACCCCACCCTGCTCAGCTACATAAAAATAATATAAGAGATGGTCGGATGGGATTGGCATTCAAAGCACGATATAATGATATATAGACCTGTACGATATCAAAAGTAATGCGTTGCATCAATGAAATTGAGTCACAATGCGATCCTATTGATTCATTATAAAAATTAACATCAAACGGGGTGTTGGATTTCTCTCTTTAAAATGCTCAATGTATATGGATGCCTGCGTAGCATCATGCATTGTCAACTGTCAAATTTCCTTAACAGGAGCCTGGCAAACCCACTCCGGCAAAAATTCCTGGATCCGCCCCTGTGTCCTGCACATCTGACAAGAGGCAACAGCGCTGGAAAATCCCGATGAACTTTTTTGGCCAACACTTGCCAAAGAGTGCTGTTTGGACAAGTCCACTGTAAAAGAAAGCAACGTGTTGCCTACTTCTAAATGGATAATTCATCCTGACAAAGAGTGTTTCCTCTGATCTTTCCTGCTTTATGAATCTTAATACAAACCAAAGATACTATTAATTGATTTCAAGATTTTATTTTCGCAATAACTCTTTCTTATAGCGGGTACACTGCAGCCCCCCCCCCTCCACCCTCTCCACGAACACACACACACACATACACACACACACACATACATCTGCGAACCATATACGCGCCTGCATTCTTGACAAAGGGGCGGGAGTAGGCAACTGTTTCCAGTACCCGATTTCAATTTCAACATCAACATAATCTAGAATACTCACCGAATAATCCGCTCTGTTATTATATTGAAGCAATTGTAATCCGGACAATATACTTGTATAGCTATACAACAGACAGTGCAGTTATATGGACAAGCACACTTAAGAATTCCAATCCACTTATTCCATTTTATATGGAAGCCTATTTTGACCGTGTTATAATCTCGATTTCCCGCTTTATTATTTTCTTGCTTTCTCACTATCCCGCCTTTGAAAATTCCTACGGTCTCGCCTCTCACCTTGACTTTCCGCCCTTGACTTCTTGCCCTCGACTTCTAGCCATGGAAGTTCAATTCGCGCGCATGTTCACTGACTACTACCAACATCACAATTTACCCAAAATCATACAAAATTACGCAAAATTATACAAAATTACCAAAAATTATAAAAAATTACCCAAAATTGATCAAGCAAGCTACTTTTCTACGCCAAGCCTAGATGATAAAATGGCCACAAAAGGCTTCCATGGTCGACATTGCTCCAACCCAGACCCCACATCATCACCACCCACACCAGGGTTACGTAAACTATCAGACCAGCTACCTTTCTGCACCAATGAAGATGGGATAACACTATACATTGTGCTGAGAGAAATTTCGCCCACACAGCGGCAGTACGACCTACTTTTATTTCAAAATCCAACTGTCAAGTGTTCCAATAGGCTTCCATAATTTTAACACTGTAAATAAATGAGTTCATGTTAAAGGAGTTAAATAGCAATATGATGTAATATGAACAATCTGATTAAATTAAAGATCTATATTTCGTTTCGTTTTTTTAAAATTCGATGGACTACACTACACGAAGATCTGACCGGTTGTACTGGAAGCTCGCGTCACAGGTCATACGAGCGGAATTTGACCCTATGACGTCAGACATTAATTAATCAATCAGCGTTGGAGTTTCTAGTGGTTTACCCACAGTTCCGTGCATCGCACGCCAAGAGCTCGCCGTAACAAACCGTTTCATTGGCATTATTGTGCATGCTCTCCAGATAAGAATATGGCATCACCGTTTGACATGACTTGTGGAATATGTCTAACCTCGCTCTTCGAGTCCCTTGTTACAAATGGCACTGAAAATCATTATGGTACACGATTCGTGTAGGCCTACCAATGGTAAAATGTTTATTTTGGCTTAATCAGAAGCCCATCTTTTCCCAGTAAGATCACAACATCAATGTTGATTTAAACTGACAAATAATTCGTGTTTTCAATGTCGAAGACTTTGGATGACCTTGAGTTAGCTACTCTAAATATAGTTGTAGATGGGGAATTCCCTAATTAATAGACTGCCAATGATTGGCCAACACACTCTTATAGTTTTGTGAGTAGTAAGGGAAATATAACTTAGTCTTACGGATACACTCTGAGATACAAAAGTTTTCATTTCCGTTTCTCATTGCGTTATTTTTTGTTTATGTAACAAATGTTACATTACGGAAGTTGTATAATATTACTGATATGATGTATTTATAGAGCTCAACTTTCACATGATAACGTACTGAGAGAGAGAGAGAGAGAGAGAGAGAGAGAGAGAGATTCGGGACTAACATGGTCAAGGGGTCTTTAGCAGTCGTGAGTTACTGTGGGACCCGGATAAAATCCGAGGTTTGACAGGGGACTTTACTCATTGTCAGTTGTCACAGGTACAAGTGTGGAATCGAAACCACGCCACTTGACTCAATGACAATTCTTATGACCTAAAGCGCACGCCGACATGAATACTGATTATACAGATGTAAGCTAGAGGCTTGTTTCAAGATCCATGAGTTGAATCTGCATATTGCTTTGGCTTTAAACATTATACGTTATTATTATTTAAATATTTATTAAATGACAAGCACATATAATCAACCCCCTTCGTCACCACTGACAAGAAGAAGCTACCGAGGAAAATCCCGGGGCTGCCACGGAAAATCCCGGGGCTGCCACGGAAAATCCCGGGGCTGCCACGGAAAATCCCGATGAACATTCTCGGCCAACACCTTCAGGCATCGACTCACTAATTCTAATATGGATATCCAGTTTTCTAAACGCAAATTTACTTTTGTTTGTTTCATAAACTTAATTAATCAAAGTTCTGCCGATTGGGGGCAGACAGACAAACAGACAGACAGACAAACGACAGTCACAAATATTAGTATAGATAGATAGATGTGTATCCTACAACACAAAGGTGTATATTTGATGGATGTGATTTTAACCATTATAAAGACTGGAATTTAATCATTATTTTTGATGAGCTTTTGGCGGAATTTTCATATTTTTGCTGTCTGTCTGCATGCTAGTTGATCTTCGTGCTAAATTTTGGGAGGTGAAATCGTGCAACATGTAAAAAGGGTATATACTTTTTGAAATGATACATTAGTGAAACCAAAAATTGTTGTTGAAGATTTTTAATAAGATTCGACACTAAATTTTTAAAATTTTTTTTAAATTTGTAAGCCTGGAACTTGACTAGTATATATCGAACTTTCAATCAAATTGACTGACATGCGGCATCGCTCAACAACGGCCTCCCTTCGTACACTCTATCATTTAGCCTCGATCTAACTGATGACGTCAACGTAACGGTTAATAATCTCCGCATGGGGCGCCATTTAACAATCAGTGAAATCCTATTTAAATCCAAGCTGTAGCCGAGCCATCCGTAGGTCTACAGAGTTGATTTTGGGCTTGTTGTTTAAATAAAGATCTAATTTATAATTTCTATAACATCTGAAGCCTAAATTAAGACTTGCAATAATCAGATTTAGCTCTTGCATAATGTATGTTTAAATGTTAACTAGCTTTTTGCAGATAGGATGGGTCTGTCGTTCAGATTGCTATTGACCGCCTGCTGGTTTTGATAAAATATGATATTGGATTGGGTTTTCAATATTATAAACTTGTTCTAACACGTAGGCCTACTCGCTGTATTGTACATTAAAAATTTAATTAATAATTCATCCCATATGACATTGACAAGCTACATTTGATCTGTGTACAACCTGACCATGTCTTCCAATGTAATACGCAATGGTCAGCAAATTATACAATGGCGTGGTAATAAACAACTCCATAATTGGTGTGAGACTCAATTCCTTTAAGAAGTTCGTATACCTTTCGTGTCACATTCCCTGTTGTTGGACAGTAAGGCAGACACGTGGAGAGCATATAGAGTATGGACTCACCCGAGTTCAGCCGCTGCCGTGGCAGGGGGCCGGAGTGGTTGTAATATTGTTACCCGCACACCGTCAGTCTTAAGGAATTATATTGTGAATATTAAATATTCGTTCAGTAGGGGATTAGCCAGCAGAAATTCAGGTAATTCGGAAAGAATGGGACGGGACGTCTTGCCAACGTCTCTAACAATGTATAAAAACAACGTCTACAATAATCCACTTTAATCAAAAATTCCGGTACAAACACGTAAGTAATCTCGTACAATCACATCACAACACCTTCTAAAAAAAGATACAAAATTAATATCTTCTATGAATCAGTCTTTTAAGTCTATTAACATGACGTATTCGATAGTCAGACCAGGTCAATTCCATGTTATGCTCATGCTGTGTGGATGTGTAAGGTGTATTTTAAGCCGTAAATATATACATTAAGCTCCATAAATGTAAGTGGCATACTCATATAAAAGAACATACATAAATAAAATAACGAACTCCCTCCTCAACTAAAACAAAAAAGGGGCGATGAAAATACCATATATCCTAAGTTTTGGAGAAACAGAATAATAAAAATGATAGAAATTGAAAATGTACAGACAAAATTACAAAGGTACTAAATTTTAAGTAATTAAGTTATCTCCCATTCATCAACCCTACCGTCACTCAAGAAGTAAAATACATAAATGATTATAATTTCCGGCATGGTTAAGGTACAATAAAAATACAAATAGGCACCGATTCAGAAAAAACATTCCAAACAAATACAGACAATAAAAACATGAAACTAATCTACTGTCGATCCCTGCCGATGAAAACAATATGCTCCCCTATGCTAGACAATGGGATAAGCACATCACATAAAATTACTCGGCAACATCAAACATAATTAGACACCTATATAATTTACATTGGAAATAATTCCAAATTAATTACAGAATGCGACTAAATAAAGATAAATTCACTAAATACTTTTGCCTGCGAAATTATAATGAATTACGAAGGGTACACATAAAATGAAAATATTAGAATCTATAGCTGTTCCGGCACTATAGTCATGTACTATGTTAATGTTATTGTTTATGTTCCTGGTGTAGTTTAGTTCCGGTGTATATTTATGTCCCTGTTGTATTTATGTAAATGTTTCTTATACTGTTCCCGATGTAATTAAACCCTATATGTACGAAAATCTTCATCAAATTCCAACTCAATGGCACGTTTATTGTTTTGTTTTTAACAACGCGAATACGAGATAATTTTTTTTCAGTGGATGCCGAATATTCATTTAGTATTTTTATAAATGCTGAACGGAACGGGGCCATATTTGGATTGATATTCCTAGTAGAGAATAAGCTTTGACAATATTGTGTGAGGTTGGATGGTCGAATGGTTAGCGCTGTATCATAAGTCAACTGGGATGGTTTCGATTCCCTGGTTGTACGTGACAAAGAGTAGGGTCGCCTGTCCAAACTCGTGGGGTTTTCTCCGGGTCCTCCGGTTTCCTCAAACTGCTAAAGACCCCTACGCGCAAGCGAATTATTAAATTGAACCATGTTAGTCCAGAAATGACCTGGTTGTGTCGAGTGGGCGTTAATCCCCATGTCTATCTCTCTCTCTCTCTCTCTCTCCTCTCTCTCTCTCTCTCTCACTGTAATGACGATCAGAGAGTTCCTAAAATAGATAGGCTGAATGTGTCATGCTAAAATTTGCAACAAAGTTTGTGTGAACTGAAACAGTGAGAAGTGGTATTAGGTGTTCCTGAAAGAGTAAGCGCATCGGGAATGTTGCATCTAATAACTACAGCCTATATGCAGGACGGAAGGTCTGTCAAAGAACGTCTAGTTGTTCGGATGAGACGAAACATCTTCAATTGAAATGACCTATATATGTCGAGTGGACGTTAAACCCCATACTTTAATTCATTAATAGTTTAATACACACCACTATAAGGACAATCAATAATTTACATTTTTCAAAATCCAAAGGAAAATCACTGTAAAAGCATAAAGCATAACAGTGATAACAATTCAAATTGATTGATGTATCGAAGATTACCCTGTCATTGCAAAGAGGGGAATGTTACCTTTAGATCAGGGGTGTCAGAGACCACATGAACTAAAATTTTCCATCAAGTGAGCCCAAGATATATAACATACAAAAATATCAAGATAAAGAAAATTTTATTGATTTATTTGACTAAAATCGTTACATACAATACTTTAAAATAGACCATAATTTAAAGGAGCTAAATCGGTAAAATTTGGGACCTAGAAATTGACAAAAGTGGGTCGCAACGCATATAATACTGTAATATGAATGTATATAAACTGATTTACATTCAATGGTTTCCGTTTTACTCCAATTTCAAATCAGTTATGTTCGACGAAATAAGCCAGCAGTCTCAAGCGAGTGCAAATTTCTAGCGTCTGGTTATTCCAGTCTACATGCGCCGTTTGATTTGGTGCAATGTGTCTAGCCTCGTCCCTCGAGTCTCTTGATACAACTGGGGCTGAAGCGCATTATGGTACACGATTCGTGTACCAATGGTAAAATGTTTATTTTTTCTTAAATATTGGATACCAAAAGCCCATCTTTTTCCGGTAAGATCACAACATGAATGTTGATTTAATTTGACAAATAAATCGTGTTTTCAATGTTGAAGATTTTGGATGATATTGAGTTAGAGACTTAGCTACTCTAACCTTTTTTAAAAATTTTACACTGAATTCTTTTAGAAACAACAACAAAACAGTGTTGATATTCAGAATCTTATGAATATGCCATGTTTTAATTTAAACTCTCTGACAATAATAGCTATTTATCGACATCAGTTTATTGAAATTTGTTCAACGGGCCACATTTAAACCCTTGGCGGGTAGGATCTGGCCCGCTGGTCGTATGTTTGACACTTCTGCTTTAGATCATGCACAAGGTTTGTCATGGAGTCAAGTGGTCTGGTTCGATCTCACATTTGTATTTGACAATTTAGAAGTGGCTATAGACTACGGTACTACGGTACTTCGCCTGTCGAATCTCCAGGGTTCACCGGGCAACCGCATACAGCTAAAGAACACTACGCGCCAGCGAATTATTGCAATAAAATTGTACCATATTATGTTAATCCCAAAATTATCTTGTTTGTATGGGGGGTGGGGGGTGGATGGCTGAATGATTAGCACGTGCGCGCTGTACCATAAAGTCTGCCATTGAGTTAACTGGTGTGGTTTCGATTCCCCGGTTGTACGTGACAAGGAGTAGGGTCGCCTGTCCAACCTCGTGGGTTTTCTCCGGGTCCTCCGGTTTCCTCCCACTGCTAAAGACCCCTACGCCCAAGCGAATTATTCATTGAAATAAAATTGAACCATATGTTAGTCCCGAAATGACCTAGTTTGTGTCGAGTGGACGTTAAACCCTATTTCTCCCTCTCACCTTGTTTGTGTCTAGAGCAAAAGGCCCACGGGCCTGATCCTGCAAGTGCAACCATGCTATAAAACACACATAACTTTAAAGGGACAATAACACTCTTGTTGGCTTGACAGCTCTAGAAAATAAATAATAGCCTTATTCTAAGTATTAGATGTTTAAGTGTCCTACCTGTTGTGTAAATTATCCATTACATCCTATTTTACTTGTTCAGAGGGTTCGAAAATATTTTTAAATCCAAGTCACATTTGAAAAGGTTTACGTTAGGCTTTTCAAATCATTTATTGAATTTTTCCAATTTTTTAAATTAGATGTGTTAAGATGAAATTTGTATCATCAATTAATTGGGATATTGTAAAATAGTACAATTTGTTGACTAGAATAAAGATTGGGACATATTATTCAGTTACGGGACAACAAGAGTGGTATTGAGCCTTTAACGGGTTTGCAATTATTATTCATTTTGATTTTATGTTATAAAATGTTGCTAGAATAAATGTGAAGCTACGAAGAAAAGAATCATGCTGATACACGAACTTATAGGAGGCAGAACATTAAATTTCACTTCTGGGGGAAAAATAGTGGTCCGAATGCTGATTGCCGAAAGATAAGCAGTGTCAAGGTCGCTAGCAGAAGAAAAACAAATATGGCGCTGTTTGATAAGGAGAAGGTACACATTTAGAATAATACTAGATCTTTGTGTCATCTGGAGAATATCTTCTCTATGGTTAGGGTTCGGGTTAGGTTTATAAATTACATGTCAAACGTACAAATTGAAGCTGTAACAACGGTAGATTGTGGCTAAAACTATTCTGAAGGGTTAGGGTTAGAATTGTGGGTACGGTATACTATAAACACTGACAGATATTCTACAGATCGGTCAAGATCCAGTAGCGTGCACAAATTTAAGAATGATTTGTTCTTTATTTCGTATATTTTTATTCATATCAGCCATGGCACTCTAACATAATTACACCAATATACACAGATATAATATTGTTGGATTTATGCAATATTGACCCGTTTGTTTTTAATTTCCTGACCTAGAGATCGAGTAGCCTACCGTAATTTGACGTTTGGAATGGCTAGCACGAGTAGCAGACCTTGAGACGGAATTTATACAGGATGCTGTCATTTGCGGCAACGAAATGTTATGTACGCCAGGCTTAGGGTACTTATAGGCAACTAAGGAAATAATTATTTGGTGATGATCGTTCCCTTTTCTCCAGTTTGTATTATGTCAACTCAAAACACTAACATGTATTACGTAAATTCACTGAGAATAATCAACTCATCTCGATGAACAAATGTGAGACTCAAAAAAAATGTGGTCTAGCTCTGTTTCATCAATATGTATTTTATTTTAGTTTGAAAAAGATGGTTATATTGTTATAGACGATTTTTTAAGTGAGGAAGATATTACAGCTCTACGATCAGAATGTTGGAACATGATAGAAGAAATGAAGCCAGAGGAACACTGTCCTTCTGTATTTAATACCACAGATCCTAAAAAACATGTAAGTTTTTGATTTTATCTCCACATTTTGACACCACCAATGTCACTCCAGCTGAATCTGCCTGTAATTTATTGGGGAATTCTTGCATTTAAAATCATGGCTGATTTTAGCTGCATGCCAGTTGTGAAGGGTGCAGTGCATTAATGTGTCTTTGCAGAGCTGGACCGTGAATTTATCACACTTCCTTTCCTGTCTCACCTTTACACTGGACCTGGTATTCAATCTTGTTTCCTCGAAAACATTAGTGTGCTATTTTGATCATAAGGTCTGTCATAAAGCTAAATTTTGTAGTTTTGATCCCAGGCTTGAATCTGTAAATGGCATGGGCTCGTCTAGCTAGAGATTCTATGCCCAATTGAATTGTTAAAAAAATAAATGAAAATGAAATGGACTGGGCTAATGAAGATGGATGTACGCCATACAGTGTGCTATGAGGGTAATTCTTCTTGCACAAGGGTGATACAGCCTACTCTTATTATCAAATTCAAACAGTCAAGGGTTCATTTCTGTGCACACAGGACCTTGTTTTATTTTTTATCCTATCTGAACGACTATACGTTGTCCCTTGCCATGAGTGGACTTTGAACCCAGTTTCTTTCATCTTTCTCCCATTTTTCTCCCATTAATTTCTTATGTCAGTAGAATATGTGTTTATTTATTATTTTTTTTTTACACTGTAGTTGAGTAATGATTACTTTATGACTAGTGGTGATAAAATTAGATTTTTCTTTGAAGAAGGAGCAATTGATGACAAAGGTAAGAAGAATAGCACCAGTCAGACACTACATGTACCCCTCTGAATCCTATCATGTCGTCTGACACGGATTTATCGTGTACATATTAGTTTGCACATAAAAGAACCCTTGACCGTTGGAATTCTATATAAGAGAATGCCTTAGTGTCGCTGTCCAGGTAAAATTTTATTCATAGCACACTATACTATATGGCATATGCCCGTCTTCATTAGCCCAGTCGGTGCAGAACAGTAGGACATTCAACTCCATTTCATTTCTTTTCATTTCATTTTAATGATATTTTTATACATGTGGCATCCAGCGCAAAATTCAGAATGTCAGGTTTAATTCAATAGTTCCTAACAATTTGTCGCTTTCAAATGAAATCAGTATTTTGAGGCTTGTATATTTTTGTCAACCCTGTTGATTGCTTCATTCAAACAAAAACTTCCTGTTTAATTTCTACTTGAAATTTATATGCATTGTTACGATCTTTGAATTCTTTTAAAGTTCAACAATTTTGACCAACTGTCCAGAATTATCACCCTAGTTATATTTTCAATGTTACAAGCACCTGTGGTATAATCCACAACATCAATGACATAAACAATAAATAAAACTACACTTAATTTATTGCAGTATCAGACAGATAGACAGACAGACCTCTTACCCAAGATGCATGCAACATCAGCATCCCCCCAACCCACACATATATACAACAGTTTCCTGTAACTACCCAAGCCAGAGACAACATCAACAACACCAATATATAAAAAGGCCGCATCATCCCCCCCCCCCACTCCACCCCCCATATGCAACCACACCAATAGGAAAAAGAGTCCTGTAACTTCACGATCACAGGCCACATCAGCTGTCCCCCTTATGCAAAGGATTCCTGTAACATCACGATCACAGGCCACATTAGACGTCCCCCTTATGCAAAAGATTCCTGTAGCTACCCGATCACAGGCCACATCAGTTGTCCCCCTTCTGCAAAAGATTACTGTAGCTTCCCGATCACAGGCCACATCAGTTGTTCCCCCTTATGTAACTTGAGTCATCTGTTTGTGTCTGTTTAATTTCAGGAAAATTACTGGTAGATAAACAGCGATCTATAAATAAAATGGGACATGGTAAGTTATTGTCGAAAGCTTTGTTTTATTTTAAGTTTTGTAAACTTTAATATTACCAACATTTCATTCATTTACACATACACATGACGTCAGTTTTTGATCCCATCCGAATGACTAGACTGTCCATCTTGCACACTGATGATACACAAAGACGGAATATCCTAAGGAATTTTCTCAATCAACACTGGGTGTAAACCCGAAACCTCCTGGTTAGCGAGCTAGCATCTTACTCACTGAGCCATTGGGGATCCCAAAAACAAAGGAAGAATCAGGCCGAAAATGAAACGGGGTTTAACATCCTACTGTTCTGCTCTGACTGGGCTAATGAAGACAGGCATCTGCCATACAGTGTGCTATGAGGGTAATTTTGCCCGGGCAGCAGCACTGTAGACTACAGCTCTTATTTGAATTCCAACTGCTAAGGGATCTTTTACATGCATGCCAATGTATACACAGGACCTTGGTTTTTCAGCCTTGTTATTCCCTCTGTCCTGCACTACTGACAAGGGGAAACCCGATGTACTTTTTCGGCTAATGCAGGGATCGAACACGCGACCTCTTGACAGGTTAGCCAGCGTCTAGTACCCACTTAGACACTGTGGCTCTCTATTAATAATGTGATTGATTATAGTGATAACTGTTGATAATTATATTTGCAGCCTTCCATGCTCTAAATCCTGTTTATAAAAGAGTCACATTTAGTGAAAAAGTCAAGGTAAGATAATTTGATGTGTTTCTGTTGATCGGACACACAATCTGCATTTCTAACTAATGGTTTTACTAGAAAATACTGAATTGTCTGAAACAAAATTGTATTTGTTGGTCGAATCTCTAGTGACTATGAGAACAGTGAAATACTGTTGATTGTACAAACCAGGTATTTATACCTGTTTATTGTACAGACAAGGTATTTTTACCTGTTGATTGTACAGACCAGGTATTACGATCCATACTGTTGTCTCTGTTACACAGATTCTCTGTGTTATTGTATATCGAGTCTGAGAACATTGATCTTTGTGTCGTCACTTCACCAAGTTTACTATACCCAAAATTTGATATGGTATGCTTGTGTTTATGCTCAGATTTGAGTACAAAATGATGATCAGCCAACGAATTTTATTTTTGTATTGTTACTGTATAGTTTCTAGTTTTATAGAGTAAGAGGCAAACTATCTTTAACCATAGGTATTCATTATAATTTTAAGGATGCACTATGTAAGAACTAAATCTGTCTAATGCAGATCTTTCGTTTGGCCTCAAATGTTATATAAATCATTAATTAGATTTATTCACATTAACAGCTGTCCAGACCATTGGATGGTTTTGATTTTCAACAGATTTAAAAACGATCGCCCGGAAGTTAATATATTTATTAAAAATGGATAATCTAGACTATACTGTTTACCAAACAGCCATAACTCTGCTCAGAATGAAGTAAAATTTGACTGAAATTTTCATTATCTATTTTCTGAAATATTATAGCGAGAACTGTCAATACTCTTTATCTAAATCATGCATAATGTATATTTAATATATTAACTTTTTATTATATTTTTAGAATATTATGAAAAGTTTAAATCTTGTAGATCCAGTTGTATGTCAAAGCATGTATATCTTTAAGGTAAATCTTTAAGATTAATCCCAAAATAAACAACTTCTGAATCAACCATCAGATAATCTTGAAATCACATAAAGAAAAAAGATGTGAGAAGGAAAAGGGTCGTCTGTCCAACTTCGTGGTTTTTTTTTCTAATCCTCCAGTTTCCTCTGACTACTAAAAAAATGCTACACGTACAAGCAAATTATTGAAAAAAAATTGAACCATTGATTGGCAACCAGAAATCCAAAATGGCATAATTTATTAAATCCTTGATAAATGGATATTGTTCCAAAATCTCATTCAAAGCTTCTATTTAAATCCAACCTCCTGGTATCAGATAAGTATATAGTTGTGATTTAAATTGACCTATATTATTTTTTTTTTATTTTCAGCAACCCGGTATTGGAGGCGAAGGTAATACCTTTTTTTTGGGGGGTGGGGGTGAATAATGGAGTTAATACTGAATCAACTAAATGTTGTCTATGGTATCCTTTCATTACACAGAGATTACAGTGGTGTAGGAAAGAGGGCCTGGCATGGAACAGTATCTAGTTGTTCGGATGGCACAAATATACAAGTTCCAGAATACACGTTGGCATGCACGTAAAAGACTCCTTGTCAGTTGGAATTTGACGCAGAGTAAGGGGAAATGCCGCTGTTCAGGCAAAATTTCACTCACAGCACACTGTATGGTGTATGCTTGTTTTCATTAGCTCAATCAGTTAGTGGGGGGGGGGAAGGCCGAATGGTTAGCATGCGCACGCTGTATCATACAGTCTGTCATTGAGTCAACTGGCGGGGTTTCGATTCCCCGGTTGTACGTGACAAGGAGTAGGGTCGCCTGTCCAACCTCGTGGGTTTTCTCGGGGTCCTCCGGTTTCCTCCCACAGCTAAAGACCCCTACACCTAAGCGAAATATTGAAATAAAATTGAACCATGTGTTAGTCCCGAAATGACCTAGTTTGTGTCGAGTGGACGTTAAACCCCATTTTTCTCTCTCTCTCAATCAGTTAGTGAAGAAAAGTAGGATGTTAAACCCCATTTCATTTCTTTTTGCTTATGTTTTCAGTGACCCCTCATCAAGACAATACTTTCTTATATACTGAACCAATGAAGTTATATGGATTGTGGATTGCTTTAGAAGATGCTACAATAGAAAATGGTTGTCTTTGGTTTATACCAGGCTCTCATAAAAGTAAGTTTGACCAGTCATGCCAGTTTGATTGTATGTACTGCACCAGTATATGTTTAAGTTTAAATTAATTAATACACTCCCGGTGCTAGTTGGTGCGTAACTTAACCGAACAGCTCTCACCGAGAGTAATAGAACTGTCACTTCTGCTAGTTATTTCCCTTCTCTTCCGGGGTGCTTTTTCGGTTTACTCTTCGTGTCGGTAAGTCATATTTTTCTGTACACAATATTCATTCATAATAGAAACTAATAGTTTATCTTAGCCTTTGTTTATTTACAAGACACTATTACTGCATCTTCAACTGGCGCTGATTATATACAGTCACCCTAGAGTGATTATACTGACACACTAGAATGAGTATACATGTTGGATGTTGGAATCCTACAATATTTTCTGCACTACAGCAACCATCCTTGGTATCCTCAGTGGTCTCATTCCGTTCTACTCCACTAACCCCTGGGTTCATCCATGGGGGAGACCTATTCAAATTATCTGCCCTTGATGATTGTGCTCGATTTATCGACCAATATGCTTGATAGCATAATGACTTGCCACTGTCTGTTTTGACTGACATAAAAGATAAAAACATCTTTCCCATCAAAAAGAGGTTTTAGGACATCTTTTTGTGTGCATGTCACTTCTTTTATATTAAATTTCTTGCAAACTTTCTCATAATCGAGCAAATAAGTCGCCATATTGTTGCCAGGGCTCACGCTGTCTGTCTCCAAAGTCGCGATTTGCAATAAAAATATGAAAGTGGGGATATTAAATTTGATTTTGGCGATAATGTTTTGTGGTACTGGCGATTCTTTTTGAGAAGAATTCTAATCGTATTTATCCTGGATTAACCATTTATTGAGTGTCAATCACATGGCGGAATACTATAAATTAATCAACTGGCTGATAATACGGATTGCGTCAATGAGTAATACTATTCAGCTGTGTTGGATTAATGATTAGTTGATTGATAATTGCCAATGATCTATATAAAGCCTATCTCAAGTCATTATTTATTCCTAATCAAAATGGCCAACAGATCCTTTCGAAAAGAATTAAATATTTCGATAGTTGAACTGTGGCTTCATATACGGCACATAAGATATACAAGCATGCCGATCGGATATCACTTTTTCAAATAATATCATCACCACTGGTCGAAAATGTAAGAAAGAGTTGAATAGCGACGATTCTTGAACGAGAAATCATTTCGCCATATGTATCATATTACCGTCGCCAAAATGCTCTAAAGGTGAACGACGGGTATAATTGTAAGCATCTTACAAATATAATGGAAATTTATATCATTCTATCAGGGATTCAGATTCTGATACCTTTACGGTACCTGAAAATAACTATAGGCCTATTGTACACGCAACACATAAATTTATAGAAAATTGGCAATCCTTGAATGAGATCTGACGTGTTAATACTGAATATATATTGTGCAGTACGGTGTTCAAATAGACTAAAGTCACCAAAGAAAAAGGATCTTATTAAATCCAAACTGTGCTAATGTAATTATATACAAACAGATTTTTAAAGTTGTTGTATATTGTATTGTATATATCGGTAATTGTTTTATAATAAGCCTAGCTGAGACATAATATCATTAGGTGTTGTCTTTTTTATCACACATTTTTGGCAGATAAAATATTCCAGTTGGCGGAAAAAAAATATGAACTTTTTTTTATATAAAAATTATCATGCCTTTTGACGGAAAAAAATTGAAAGCCAGTGTGAGCCCTGATTGTTGCGAACGTAAACAATGAGACTAAGACTTTTTTGGTTTAGTTCATAGAATCTAGTTACGATCAAGGGCAGATAATTTGAATACATAAATACCCCATGAATGAATCCAGGATATAGTGAGTGGAGTGGAACGGATTAAGACCATTGGGGATACCAAGGCTGTGCAGCTTCAAACTACAGCGGACTCTGTCAATTCCGACATCGTATGGGATCGATACAATATGCTGGATTATTAAATTATAGAGGTAATCAACAAGAACCGACACATGTTTTATGCTCACAGATAATTGATTGGTGATTGCTTGTGTTATAAGTTTATTTCACACTCTGAATGGAGAGAGAGAGAAATGGGGTTTTAACGTCCACTCGACACAAACTAGGTCATTTTGGGACTAACAAATGGTTCAATTTTATTTCCATAATTCGCTTGCGCGTAGGGGTCTTTAGCAGTGGGAGGAAACCGGAGAACCCTGAGTAAACCCTCGAGGTTGGACAGGCGACCCTACTCCTTGTCACGTACAACTGGGGAATCGAAACCATGCCAGCTGACTCGATGACAGACTTTATGATAAAGCACACACATACTAACCATTCAGCCATCTACCCACCCCCCACTCTGAATGGGACTGTTTACTATATATATATGTATTATAGATGGTTTATATGGTGACTGAAGTATGATAAGTATGACTGTTCTATATTCCAGATGGTTTATATGGTAACCGACGTATGATACGAAATCCTGATACAACTCCTGGTCAACCACATATTGTATTTACCGGTGATGTAACCACATTCAATGATGATCAGTTTATACCAGTTCCAGTTAAAAAAGGTCCGAAACAAATTAGTATTAGGGACCTTTTACATCAGTACTAAAACGAATCTGAAAACGTCATCGATTCGTGTGTACATCAACCAGTACATAAACGAAAATGTTTCTTGTCTCATATATTGAATTTTCCACAATTTTTCAAGGCCTTGTGTATATTGTTGATTGTGTAGTGTGTGTAGAATGTGTTCAAATGCAATATTCTGATTGATACGTTGTGCATCTGCCAAAAAATCAATTGTAAACTTTGCCTGGACTGAGAAGTTTATGGATTGGAATTAAGGCCATCTAGCTATTACCGCATGTTACAGTAAACGGAAATGTAAATGAACACATGTTCGTTTTCATACCAATGCGAATGGTCCCTATATTGACATTGTATTACAATCTGGTCGGGTATGATAGCAGACAAATTCACACATGTAAATGAACGGTCTCTTATATAGCTGCAATATGAAAATTCTGCTCTTCTCCACCTCTTTTCTAAGGCTATTTTGGAATCCTTACCGTCTGTTTTTCACTGTGATTCTTTATTTTTTGCGATTAAAAAAGTCCTGATGTCTGTGCATGTCTCTAAATGGCTTGTCAGTTCAAACGTATTTTGTGTATGTTTTCTAATCAAAAAATTCAACCTGAAAATAGTGTTGAATTATTATAAATGTGTGTCAGCTGTGGCAAGAAATAATTCCAATCCAGTAAATATTGCAGGCTAGCGATGACATCAAGAGTTGATGTCTAATTAATAATTTAGATAACATTTCAGGCCTAAAGAAATACCTACAATAGGCAGATTAGCTCTTGCATAATGTATGTTTAAATAACCAATCTGAGTACATATTTACATGAATTTAGCTGCCAATGGTGCATCGTTACTGTTGATAAAGACCAGTAGGAGGTTGAGCCCCATTTTGTTTCATTTTCCCTTATGGTAGGACCGTGAAGTTATTATATGAAGTACAGCTGACTCTAAATCTAATGATATTTTTTTTACAAATATTTTACAGGTAGTTGTGTTGTATTACATGGCGAGGTTGTTCATAAAAGTCTCCACAATAAATCAGAAAAATCTCGACATATTTACACATTCCATGTGTTCGATAAGAAAGACACAGTTTACAGTCCTCAAAACTGGTAAGAAAACTATTATGCCATGTAAATTCTCAGAACAAGCTGCATTTTTTGGGGGGGGGGGGGCTTGGAGCCATTTAGTGTCTGGTATCCAATGATCCTTTCGGGGGGGGGGGGGGGGGGTTGATGGCCGAATGGTTAGCATGTGCGCGCTGTATCATAAGGTCTGCCATCGAGTGAACTGGTGTGGTTTTTTCGATTTTCCGGATCTATGTGAAAAGAAGTAGGGTCGCCCGTCCAACCACATGGGTTTTATCCGGGTCCTCCCATTGCTAAAAACATGTAAACGCAAGCACATTATTGAAATAAAATTAAACCATGTGTTAGTTCCAAAATAACCTAGTTTGTGTTGTGTGGAGTTAAAATCCCATCTCTCTCTCTATCTCTCTCTCTCTCTCTCTCTCTCCAGTGATCCTTTCACAAAATGAAAAACAATATATAAAAACTTAGCCCTTCCTATTTTATATTTGACCTTTGACCATCGCTTGATAAAAACTAGTGGATATGCTGCTGACTAAATAGACAGTAATTGTATTCCATAGAAGTAGAAATGTGTCCTTTGTAAATAAAAACCTGATATTTTACAATCTGATTAAAATACAGATCTACATTTCGTTTCATTTTTTGTCCCCCGCCTTTCGAAGAAAGCAGGGGACTATTAAAATGGGTTCGTCCGTCTGTCTGTCTGTCTGTCTGTCCGTCTGTCTGTCCGTCTGTCTGTCTGTCCGTCCGTCTGTCTGTCCGTCACACTTTTTGGGACACAATAACTCTCTTCCTAATTGAGCTAGAATGTTCAAACTTGGTGTATGTGTTTATTAGGTCAATGCCTTGATGGAGTTCGAAGATGAGCATTTTCCGCTTAGGGTAAGCAGAGATAAGCAATTTGATTGGTTGATGCTTTGGGACACGATAACTCTCTTCCTAATTGGGCTAGAATGTTCAAACTTGGTGTATGTGTTGATTAGGTCAATGCCTTGATGGAGTTCGAAGATAGCATTTTCCGCTTAGGGTAAGCAGAGATAAGCAATTTGATTGGTTGATGCTTTGGGACACGATAACTTTTAATTGAGCTAGAATGTTCAAACTTGGTGTATGTGTTTATTAGGTCAATGCCTTGATGGAGTTCGAAGATGAGCATTTTCCGCTTAGGGTAAGCAGAGATAAGCAATTTGATTGGTTGATACTTTGGGGCACGATAACTCTCTTCCTAATTGAGCTAGAATGTTCAAACTTGGTGTATGTGTTGATTAGGTCAATGCCTTGATGGAGTTCGAAGATGAGCATTTTCCGCTTAGGGTAAGCAGAGATAAGCAATTTGATTGGTTGATGCTTTGGGACACGATAACTTTAGTTCTAATTAAGTGAGATTGATGAAACTTGGTGTATAGATTTATTATATGAATACCTTAACTAAGTTCGATAATGAACATTTTTTGCTGAGGGTAAGCAGAGTGATAAGCAATTTGATTGGTAGAAACTTTGGAACACAATAACTCTCCTTCTAATTGAGGTAGAATGTTCAAACTTGGCATAGGTGTCTATTAGGTGAATGTTTAAACTTGATGTATATGTAGATGTTCATTAGGTGAATGTCTTGACTGAGTTCAATAATTAACATTTCGAGCTGAAGCTAAGCAGAGCTAATCGATTTCATTTGTCGATGGTTTGGGACAAGATAATCTTGATTCTATCTGATAGAGAGTGATGAAACTTAGTGAAAAAAATAAATGTGCGATTAATTAATATGTGTCATCTATTTATTTTGCAATTTCGGCGGGGGACATCAGCCTCACTGTTGGCTTGTTTATACTGTCGATGGCCTACACTACATGTAGATCTGACAAGCTGTAGAGATAGGTCGCGTCAGAGGTCATACAGGCGGCTTTTGACCCTATGATGTCAGACATTTGATTAACCAATCAGCATTGAAGTTTTTTAATGGATTACCCTCAGTTCCGTGCAAAACACGCCTAAAGCTCGCCCTAAGAGACTGTTTCATTGGCTAATCCCTAACGCCATCCAGAACACGTCAATAATAACATCTCTTCCAGATCCTAGAGTGGTAAAGACAAGTAAAACGAAATTTTAAACTATATAAAACGAAATGAAATAGGATCTGTGTTTTAATCAAATTGCATATTTTAGGGAAGGAATGTTTGAGAACCAAAATACTCTTGCTTGGCTTTATTATTGGTTTATTAGTGTTAATTCATTTTCAATGAAGGAAATTAGATAGAAAGTATGTTAAGTCAGTGACATATTCACAGAACCGCTGTGTTTCTCCTATGAAAATACTTGTGGGTAATAATTTAGCTTTTTAAATAATTATAACTGTTTATTTTTATTTTAAGGTTACAAGAAACTGAAGCTCTACCTTTTCCGTCTGTCTACAATTACGCCTAATAATTATCTTCAGCATTTCATATACTTCCAGCATTTACCGTTTATGGCTTGTGATATATCATGAGATTTTATTCTGATTTATTTAATTATTTGTGATATCATGAGATTTAACTATTCAACCATTACACACACAGTTTGTGACTTGACAGTTAAATTTCTAGTAATAGCCATCATCATGTCACCATGGTTGGACAAATTTCTTTATTCTGTTCAGATTTTACAAAGATATTCTTGAGCTAACTATCCGTTAGAAGAAGCATCTGCGGTAGAACAGAATCACTTGGTCCATACATCATACATAATTTAACTGGATAGATCCTTTTAGCCAATGCTGGTCAAATATGTAATACTGAACTGTTTTGTTGTGAATGTGCTTGCCAAAGCTGGTCAAATATGTAATACTGAACTGTTTTGTTGTGAATGTGCTTAGAAACACTCATCTGTTAATGAAGCGCTATATAAATCAAACAATAATAATAAATAACAATGTATTTGTAGTCTTTGTTTATTGAATTGTCTGATGAATGGGTTTTATAAACTTGGAAGGGTTCAGTAAGGAGTGGTATAAGGTGTTCAAGCTAGACTGCCAGAAACACTGCGATTATGTGGGCACTCGATCAGGTCTGCTTCAACTGAGAGGACAGTTTTGGCTGTGATTCTGAAACATTCTAAATTACTGGGATTATAATGGTATCCCCTGGGTAATGCAGTATCACTAGGGTCTCTCAGTATCCCCAGGGTTTAACAGTAGGCCTTTTCCCAGGATACAACAGTATCCCCGGGGTTCAGCAGTGGGCCTATTCCCAGGTTAGAGTAGTATGATTTAATGTATATATGTATGAATGAAATAAAACAGTGAATATCAAGTTTTTATGTAAATGAATGATGATAATTTTTAAGGATAAAATTTTGTTCTATCATAATTTTAATCAATATACAGATGTTAAATGATTTTATTTTAAAAGAAATTTATTTTAGTACAGTATACACTGTAATACTAACTGTACTTATTGTTCTATTCTGTATGTATGTACTTTGATATGAAAATAATATATATATTTGAAAAAACTTGTCTTGGTTTTCTGCCTATGGTAACTCTTTATAAAACTGGGTTGGATGGGCCGAATGGTTAGCATGTGCGCGCTGTATCATAAGGTCTGTCATTGATTCAACTGGCATAGTTTCGATTCCCCGGTTGTACGTGACAAGGAGTAGGGTCGCCTGTCCAACCTTGTGGGTTTTCTCTGGGTCCTCCGGTTTCCCCTACGTGCAAGCGAATTATTGAGATAAAATTAAACCATATGTTAGTCCCGAAATGATCTGGTTTGAGACACTAAATATGGGTATGGCATTGTTTCTGAATTGGCATCAGTTATTCCACCCCCAATCACATTATCAAAAGTCATTAGAATCTATTGTCTGGGGAGTCGTGGTATAGTTATTCGGATGGGATGGAAAACTGAGGTCCAGTGTACACATTGTACAGGTAAAAAAAAAACTTGAGAGTTGGAATTCGATATAAGAGTAGGCCACAGTCCCGCTGTTCGGGCAAAAGTTCCCTCAAACCACACTGTATGATATATGACCATCTTCATTAGCCCAGTCTGAGTATGAAATGAAATGAAATGAAATGGGGTTTAACGTCCTAATGTTCTGCTCCTATACTGGGCTAATGAAGACGGGCATACGCCATACAGTGTGCTATGAGGGAAATTTTGCCCGGGCAGCGGCACCATCGCCTACTCTTATATCGAATTCCAACTGCCAAGGGATCTTTTACGTGCATTCCAATGTATACACGGGACCTCGGTTTTTCGTATCAACCGAACGACTAGACAGCTGTCCTTGTCAGGCCCTCCGTTCTGCACCACTGACAAGGGGAAACCACGTCGGACCAGTCTGAGCAGAAGGGTAGTATAATGAGTATGTTGAAATATTGATTAATGTTGATTTAAATGAAATTTATTTGGAATATTTAAGGAAACAGATGTCTAATACAAATGTATACATAATATAGTCATTAAGATTTTATCTGGATGAAATGACAGACAACTGCATATTTTTATACGCCCACATTAACACGTTTCATCATCTGATGAATCAAGTAAATGCTGTTCCTTGCCTGTCTGCTTTATTGACACAGCAATTTTATCGTCCAACACCAGGATCGAAATGAAATGAAATGGGGTTTAAGGTCCTACTGTTCTGCTCCTAAACTGGGCTAATGAAGACGGGCATATGCCATACAGTGCCCTACGGCCTACTCTTATATTGAATTCCAACTGCCAAGGGATCTTTTACGTGCACGCCAATGTGTACACGGGACCTCGTTTTTCGTCCCATCCGAACGACTAGACAGCTGTCCTTGTCAGGCCCTCCATCCTGCATCACTGACAAGGGGAAACCACGCCGGAAAATCTGGATGAACTTTCTCTGCCAATGCAGGGATCGAACACCCGACCTCCAGGCTAGCGAGCCAGCGTCTTACCCACCTAGCCACGTGATCCCCCACACCAGGATCGAACCCCAGAGCTCCTGGTTAGAGAACTAGAGCTTTACTCAATGACCAACAATGGTGCCCATTCATAATTCTGAGGAACTTTCCCGGCCAATGCGGGAGAGGGACCCACGAACATCCTGCTTAGTCGGCCAACAGATGATAAGAAATAGAGAGAAATGGGGTTTAACTTCCTACTGTCCCATCTGAATGACTAGACAGCTGTCCTCCGTCCTGCACCACTGACATGGGGAAACCACGTCTGAAAATTCTGATGAGCTTTCTTGGCCAGTGCAGGGATCGAACACACGACCTCTAGGCTAGCGAGCCAGTGTCTTACCCAGTTAGCCACTGTGGGCGTATATTATTGACTAGATTCAAGCTAGGTAATTTTAGGACTGACATGGTACAATTTTATTTCACTAATTAGCTTGCTCTTAGAGTTCTCTCACTGTCGGAGAAAACTCACAAGGTTTGGATCAAAACCACACCATTTGACTCAATGACAGACCTTGTGATCTAAAGCCTATGTCGCCCCCCCCCCCCCCCCCCACCATGTTTTAGGAAGAAAATAACCAGAATATTTAATGTCTCTCGCAGTCGGAGAAAACCCATGAGGTTTGGATCGAAACCACACAGTTGACTCAATGACAGACCTTATGATCTAAAGCCTACGTCCCCCTCCCATGTTTCTAAGAAGAAAATAACCAGAATATTTAATGTTTTTTTTTATTTGTAATAAATAGATAACAGATAAAATGTACAAACTATATGAACAGATCTACAACTAGATATCAAATATAATGATAAATAATGTAAATAATCAGATAAAGCCCTGATTACACATGCATATAGATAAAACACCTCATATAAACTACTAAATACATTTATACACAGCCGAGTTACAATTCTGTAGGTCCCTTGTACTACAGGTACTTTTGGTTCCTCATGAATTAAAATTATGTAGGCCCCTGGGCTACAGGTAGGCCTTCTGTGGGGCCCTTAGAAATACAGTTATGAACTACTAAATAAATTTATACAGAGTTGAATTAAAATTCTGTAGGACCTTGGACTACAGTTACAGTGAGGCCCACAGAAAATCAGTCATGAGTCTAGGACATTTGTACCCGGCCACATGTCCCTGGTAGGCCTATACCATGATAAATTGTTTCTGTTCACTGTGGTATGTTTACTACCAATATATATACATACATAATATATTAATTGAATCTTGTTTTAAAAACACAATTTAGAGGATTTATTCCACATTCACAAATAAAATAATTTTTCATTTAATCTCTGATGATCCTCTATCTGGTGAAGGACTTAAAGCTCATGTCTTAATCCGGGTCTCAATATATACACACACACTTCATAATTGTAATTATACATGCTTTAATTAAAAAGAAAATTAAAAATATTTGGGTCTCCCCAAAACATACAAATTTAGATCTTTGGCTTCCAACAAATGTGACATAATTTTTCAGTTCCTGTAAATGCCTAAGGCCTGGCACTCCTCCATTATATATCAAGGTATAACAAACATCCCTGACCACAAATATAAGAATTCATAGATCATCAAAAATGGGTTGATCAATGGTCATAATTGCTCATATATACATTTTTTGGAAAATAAATATTACATGTATGTTTGGCTTCAAAATGGAGATTTATATGTTTTTAAGACTGGAAATAAGACACCTGTCACAGACACTGTTAGGCCTACCTGTAAATTCAGGCTTTGTTAGGCCTACCTGTAAATTCAGGCTGTGTTAGGCCTACCTGTAAATTGTATCCCATCACAGATTGTTTTGTTTTCAGTGTTTGTATTGATATTTATAATACAAGTCAATAGATACAAAGTAAAAAAAGTGAGTTACTATCTCAGCAATAGTGCCAGACGATTTGTCAGTTAAATTATAACCACTATTTCTTGGCCTGTTTTTATGTTTCATTCAAATATATTGCACAGTACAACAAAGTGTCAATTCAATGTATATAATATGTACCAATAAAAATGTGTTCACAGAAGAAGCCTTTTTTCATAATAGGGTCTACTATTTCAAAGAGGTATCAGTGCTTTTGCAATAATCGGCAATACTTGTTAAAGTAAAATGGTTTTCTATGGTCACATGTCCAAATGATCCCATTTGACCCGTTAGAGTTTATTATTCCAAGAAAAAGGGGAAAAAATCTGTTATTTACAATAGGCCTATTAGCTAAATTTTGATAAAAAATCTAATAGTAAGTCTCACTGTACATCATACATGTATATATCACAGTTTTTACATCAAAAAACACTATCAAGGAAAACAAAATGGATTTCAGCTTATAATTAAAGTCTCTGTCTGAGAAAAAAAATGGTTTTAAAGTAATTGAAGAGTATATGATTTAAAGTAATTGAATGGTATTAAACAATTGGGAGTAAATGGTTTTAAAGCAATCAAGAGTAGGCTAAATGATTTTAAAACAATCAAGAGTAAATGGGTTTTAAAACAATCAAGAGTAAATGGTTTTAAAACAATCAAGAGTAAATGGTTTTAAAATAAATGGTTTTAAAACAACCAAGAGTAAATGCTTTTAAAACCATAGGGAGTAAAGGGTTTTAAAACAATTGAGAGTAAGACTATATGTTTTAAAGTAACTGAAGACTATATGTTTTTAAGTAACTGAAGACTATATGTTTTAAAGTAATTGAAAAGTAAATCTTTTAATATAATTTAACAGTATATGTTTTGAAGTATTCATTCTAAATCTTACTTGCTGAGCTTTTACAAACACAATGTAAACATTAAAACAAATATAATAATAAAGACTAGAAGTTTTATATACACATTCAAAATACTTATAATAAACATATAATGAGGATAGAGTAGGGCTCGGCCACACTCCCTTGTTAAAATGGTAGGATAAATGGGATTTGCCCAGGTCTCATGAGCAATGTATGGTCTCCCATGGGAAATGTATGGGGATTCTATTGGTCACAAAGATTAACACATGGGTAACAAGGATCAATTAATGTGATTTTCATGGGTGGGAATTATAATGACGACCCATGGGAAAATATAGAGAAGCTATGGTGCCAATGGCTGTCTATGGTGACACATATGACAACCACAGAACCTATGGATCAAGCACATTAACATATAGGGAATATATGGTGATCCTTGGCAGAGATTCAATAAATACTAATACACATCAATAAAATATCATTATAATAACTTGGTATACAACTATTTACCCTTTAAAAGATTAAAAACTTATGCCTCATAATAATATTATAATTTCTAGTTTTCCATCATTATAATTGATATTTACCCCTTAGATTATAAACTAGAGCTAGTCAATCAGTCACTGCTATAGTGTCCCATATAATTAGGCCACACCAAGTTCATTATCTTAGATTATATACATGTACAATAGCTAGTTTGTCACTGTTAGTGTCCCATATAATTAGGCCCCACCAAATTAATTTTCTGTTCTTAGGGAGTACCTTTTAAAATTTTGCTTATAATTTCTAGTTTTCCATCATTATAATTGATATTTACCCCTTCGATTATAAACTACAGCTAGTCAATCAGTCACTGCTATAGTGTCCCATATAATTAAGCCACACCAAGTTCATTATCTTAGATTATATACATGTACAATAGCTAGTTTGTCACTGTTAGTGTCCCATATAATTAGGCCCCACCAAATTAATTTTCTGTTCTTAGGGAGTACCTGTTAAAATTTTGCTTCTAACATCTTTAGCAAAAAGACTATTTTAAAAACTGAAAGTATTTGGTTACACTGATCAAAAGTTTCAGTTCCATTAAACAAAACATCTTTCATGTGATTCAAGTGATTATTTATCAACACCCAGAAGAATTGAAAATTAAACAGGTTTTTGGCCTTATAACTTTTATATAATAAATCCCACTATTATTCACCCATTTTATAACAAGCTATATCTTATATAAATTACACTGTTTATAAAATTGTGCGGGAGCCATCAAAAGCTCCTGATACCTTGGATATATGCAGTTTAAAAGTAAACAAAACCTGAAAGTAGTTTATTAATCTCAATATTTAGGAGCCCGATTTGGCTAATTCGTCGAAAGGAACAGGAGCAAAAGCTCCCCTTAAACGTGAAGGACTACTGTCAATATGTACATGATCATATAGACTGAAGTCAAGATTTTGACCTGATTTGTTGGAACTAACCAACTTTCATGCATTTGAAATATTTCAAATCTGTGGAATAGTGGATCATATTTACTTAATAAAGCGTCATATTTTAGATGCAAGAAAGAGATTAAGAAAATTCTAGTCGTTACGTCACTCAGTAATAAGCAATAATCATTTTGAATAGAATTGTGTCGTGTATCTGTTATTTCTATGATTACTTGATAAAGACAAGCAAACCCTAGTCAAACAAAACGTTGCTCAGTATGTAATAAACAGTATTTGCACTAAATAGAATTATGTCATGTATGTATATGTTCAGTCCAATTGGGTGATGCTAATTGTAGGGAGGTTCAGGAATTTCCGATGATTGGCGAATCCATTCCCATAAATGTGTATTTTGGGGGAATACCAACCCTAACCCTTTTTAGAAGGCTAAACATGGATCCGATTTACCTTTTACCACTCATACAAGGGTTAGGGTTAGTATTCTCCAAAATACACATTTATATATAGCAGCCATTTATATAAAGCGGCCATCGGAAATTCCTGTACCTCCCCAACCGGCCTACAATTAGCATCACCCAATCCAATTACTTAGGGACTGTTGTAAAATTTCAATACATGCATCCAATCGAACAACTCTTGGAACTAGGTGGGTGGGTTGAACCACACCGCAGATAGAAAATGATAGATTAAATGTCAGTTATTTAATGTCAACATTTGCTCCCTGCAAATAAGATGGGTGGTCAAATATATATCCCGAGGGTTTTTAGTAAGATATAAGTAATAAAAAGTAATTATATTCTGTAAAATTCTATTCAATTTCAATATCACTGAAGAAATCTCCTTTGAATAGGGCCAATTTTAATGAAAATTACACTCTGATTTTATTTGTGTTACAAATATTGAAAGAAATGGAAGTTTCTAATTATATTATAAAAAAAATCAGATAGAGTCTTATAAATACAAAACAGTAATGCCCGAAAAATTGGGTCAGTACTCTAAAATCATGATTTAAAGATCTAATAATCTATTTTTATATATTACATGATTAATGAATTGGACTCCAGACTACGGTATATGTGACCCGCGACAGTAAAATGAGTCAAAAGTTGCAAGTCTTTTATATGACGAAATAGGCTAAAAATATATTTTTAATGATATAACACAAAAGGTAAAAGTTTAGATTTGTCAAATAAAGCAAGCTATTATTTATTTTTTATATTTTTAGCCTATTATCCTAGACAATGACTCAATTTGCTGTAACACATTGTTAAGGTTAGGCACCCTGCTGCTATGAGTCACCCTTATAAAATTCTTAATACAGACAAAACATAATACACAAAACAATCACTACAACTTGGGTATTATTTAACTGTGTTGTTTTAGCAAGAGTTTCTGTATTTAATGTTTAGTTCCAAATCATTGTTGGAAAACTGTTCAAATCTGTTGAGAATCACAGAAAACTATTGGGTTCTCCTACTGTTACGCAGTTTAACATGGTCCATCTAGATAACGAGTGTTGGGTTTATAACTGTTTAATTTCTGCAGCAGTGTTGAGTAATTAAATTCTCTGTTAATTACTCAATACCTTTTGAGAAAGTAAATAGTTATAAAGCCAAAACCCATTATCTAATATAGATAGACCCTTTAAGCTACACAACAGTAGAAAACCAATAGTTTGCTATGATTCGCAATGGATTTGAACAGTTTTCCAACAATGGCTTGAAAGTTGAAACTAAACATTAAATACAAAAACTCCTGTTAAAAAAATACAACTAAATGATTCCCAAGTTGTAGTGAATAATCAATGGTTATTTTTAACAGACAAAATTGAGTCTGAATCATAACCTTTATTTAATGAAGGGCCTGACAAGGACTGCTGTCTAGTCATTCGGATTGTACGAAAAAATGAGGTCCTGTGTACACATTGGCGTGCACGTAAAAGATCCCTTGGCAGTTGGAATTCGATATAAGAGTAGGCCATAGTGCCGCTGCCCGGGCAAAATTTCTCTCATAGCACACTGTATGGCGTATGCCCATCTTCATTAGCCCAGTTTAGGAGCAGAACAGTAGGACGTTAAACCCCATTTCATTTCATTTCATTTATTTAATGAAATAACAGCTGGTGGGAGTTGGAATTCGATATAAGAGTAGGCCATAGTGCCGCTGCCCGGGCAAAATTTCTCTCATAGCACACTGTATGGCGTATGCCCGTCTTCATTAGCCCAGTTTAGGAGCAGAACAGTGGGACGTTAAACCCCATTTCATTTCATTTCATTTATTTAATGAAATAACAGCTGGTGGGATTATTTAGTTCTATTTGGCACATATATATGAATATATACTCTCTTATAATGTAACTTTAAGTCTTTAACCAAGTACATAAAACAATTTTAATCCTAAAAATAGGACTATCGACAGAAAAATAAAATGTTGAATAATGTTGATTGATTTGTGTGGAGACTAACTCTATATATGTTTACATTTTCTTTGTGAAATTTGAAAAGTTATGTTTTTGGAGGGACCTCTCAAATATTGAATGTCAAATTTACTAATCTTCATTTGACTAGTAGTGAAAATGACCAGTCAATTTACATCCCCTAAAATTAGAATTTATAATTTTTTACCTTAAAATACTATAAATAGAATCTTTTAGAGGCATTTAGTAACTGGATAAAATAATAAACTATAACACATACTTATGGAAAGACAGCTACTGCCTAACAACAATTCATGAAACCATACATGACAAGGGAGAGAGAGAGAGGGAAATGGCTTTAAGTCCACTTGACACAAACTAGGTCATTTCGGGACTAACATGGAGAAAACCCACAAGGTTGGACAGGCGACCCTACTCCTTGTCACGTACCACTAGGGAATCAAAACCATGCCAGTTGACTCAATGACAGACCCTATGATACAGTGCTGACCATTTGGCCATCCACCCCCCTCATACATGACAACAACAAGATCAAAGGACATGGACTCGAGGGAATGACAATCTACAAAAACAAACTAATTAACTAAATAAATAAGTAGCTGGTTTGCCATACGTATATGTTATAGTTTATTAAAAACTTCAAAATATATACCAAAAATGAAATCACTGAAACATAAACATTTGTGATCTAATAAAAAGTACTTGGGATTCTACATTTCGTTTCTGGTTATATAGTATCCATTGAGCAATGTGCATCGGTTTAATCTACTGTGAATTTACCGGTGAATTGTTTTCCTTATGAACATAGATTTTGATTTGGTTTATGATATTGAGATAAAGACCTGATTATCTTGCCCACATTATCTTCTGCTACTCTCACACAGTGAAGAATATCGTTGTCAATGTGATCATTTTAAATTCACGGCAAATTCACCAAAAATTATAATATAGGCCTAGAGAAATGCTGAAAAAATGTTTATCAATATTTGCGAATTTCTTCTGTATCCTTGCAAATTTCGTACAAAGCCTTGCAAATTTCTTATTAAATTCTTGCAAATTTCTTATAAATCCTTTTTGCCACAATATTCGCCACTGTGTAAGACCAACATTAGCAATTCTGAAAACCTGGATAATCATGAATTAATAATTGTAAGTTACTACAAGCACACACAATTTAAATACAGATTTCTCAAATAATGGTGTAGGATATAATATGAAACCAATGGAGATGAGAATGATTAATCTATAAGACATGTATGTACATAATTTCAATTTACGATACTTAAAAACTCTATGCGTTATTTTAGTGAGCTATAGGAATCCCTTGCAAACAACAATATTGTGAAAGTTGGAGATCTAATAGTTATATCAGCCCAATTGTGGCTTGATTCTGTTCAGTATTTACAAAGTTATGACGAATTTGTTTTCTGAACCCTTTAACCGTTGGATTGTTTTGGTGTTTCGACTAGAAAAAAGCATATAGTTAAGAATATATCCTGTAACTCTTTAAATTTAAGAATAAATCATACAAATATATATTTTTGAAAAGATCTTGAATTCCTCTATTGAATGGTATAACATATTTAACATTTTTTGTCACTTTTACTTATATGTCATGACCTGCAAAATGGCCTCCTGAAATATTCCATATGGAACGTCTGACGGTTAATAAAGGGTTAATTAAATATTAGGTAATCAATCTGAGTACAAATTCCCATGGATTAAACCACGCAAAATTTGATATTTTCCCAAAAATGCAAATCATGCATGTCTTACTTTAAATATTAACAACTTATCATATTTATTCAGGAGGTGGTGCTGAGGCTTTCTGCATGAGTGGAGCATCACTGTATGGTGGAGGTGGTTCCGACATTACTTTTTGAAATGTTTGTTGTTGATAACCAGCCTGTGGATAGGGAGGATATTGTTGGGGTGGGGCTGTAGGATATTGAGGTGGTAGATAACCTTGTTGATAAGATGGTTGACCTTGTGGTGGATAGTATGGCTGTTGTTGGGGTGGCATATATTGTCCGGGTGGCATATATTGTCCGGGTGGCACTGAAATAAAAGTAAACATATTTATAGTATATTCCTTTCATTTGTCTTTATCCAGGGCCATGAAATCAAACGAACCGGGAGAAAAAGAGAGAGAGAGAGAAATGGGGTTAACGTCACACAAACTAGGTCATTTTGGGACTAACATATGGTTCAATTTTATTTCACTAATTCGCTTGCGCGTAGGGGTCTTTTTAGCTGTGGGAGGAAACCAGAGGACCCGGAGAAAAAACGAAATGGGTTTAACCTCCAACAAGAACAACAGGTCGTACAAACATAATACCGAAATCAAGACATGGCTCAGAAACCTGCAGTCTACAGCAGGGATGCTATTACAAAATTTTGCTTCACAGATTTTTTTTTTTTTTTTTTTTTTGGGGGGGGGGGGAGGCGCATTAGATGTTGTTGTCAGTTTCAGGATATACATGTAGGGTCTATAAGCTTCCATTCCCTTTAAAGATACATTATGGGGGATTAGATAAAGAGCTGACAGTTCTTACTATAATAGTTAAAAATTAGATAATGTAAAGGATATTTGCTGAAAATTTCAGACAAATTGATCCACTCTGAACCGAAAATTAAGCGATTGAAATTTCGGCCTACCCTCGTTCATCAATACTATAGTCGGTACAATTAACAACATAGTCTTGATTATCCATTTCATGATTTAATCATGAATGAAAGCTGAGCAGCAAATCGGATCCTAATCCAGTCAATATCGCAGGCTAGCGATGACATCAAGAGTTGATTATGGTCTGGATAAGTTAATTAATGTCTAATTAGTAATTTAGATAACATTTCAGGTCTAAAGAAAGACCTGCAATAGACAGATTTAGCTCTTGCATAATGTACATGTATGTTTATTAACAGACTTCTAACTTCCATGCATGCGTTTTGCATGTTTGCGTCTGTCAAATCCAAACATTGAGTTTTGGGGACATTATATAGAAAGCAAAGAAAATTCACCTGGTTGAGCACCAAGATACGGTGCCTGCGTTGGGTATTGGACACTCTGCTGCGGATAAGTTGTTATAGTCGTAGTATTCTGTGGCGCCTCACGATAAACAGTGCCGCCATAGTTACGTCTTTTTCTACAGCAGCAGCAACAACAAAGGATACCTAGACTTACTATTATAGAGAATACAACTACACTGATGATGGAGGTGGTTAGTGTTATCTGATCGGAATCACTCATTTCATCATCTGAAAAACATAATGGAATTCTGAAACATCCAGCCAGAACTAAATAACAAGAGAGAGAGAGAGAGAGAGAGCGAGAGAGAGAGAGAGAGAGAGAGAGAGTGATATGGGATTTAACATCCAGTCGACACAAACTAGGTCATTTCAAGACTGACATGTGGTTCAATTTTATTTCAATAATTCACTCATAGTCATAGGTAATTGTCTTAAAAAAAGCAGTAGTCAGGAAACCGGGAGGACCAAGACAAAACAACCTAGGAGGTTGGACAGGTGTCATTACTCCTTGTCACATACAAGCCGGGAATCGAAACCATGCCACTTGACTCAATGACAAACCATTTACCTAGGTCAGTTTCAGAGATAATACATGGTTCAATTTTTTTTTAATTAAATTGTTTGAGTGTAGGAGTGTAATTAAATTGCTTGATTAAATTGCTTGAGTGTAATTAAATGACTTTTGAGTGTACTTAAAATGCTTGAGTGTAAGAGTGCAGCTAAATTGCTTGAATGTAATTAAATTGCTTGAGCGTAAGAGTGCAGTTAAATTGCTTGAGTATAGGAGTCAATAGACGTGGGAGACAATCCATGGTTTAATCTATCAACAAAGATGTCAATAGCAGTCAGTAATTGGTTCATACATGTAGATCTCTCTTTAATCAAATCCTATTCACAGATTAATTGTTTTATCTTACCCCAATTTGGAAATAAAGTACTGTCTTCTGATTCCATTTAGCTTTATTTCTAATAATAGTCTCAGCAATATCATAAATTATATATAGGCCTATACAGGAACACGTTCTACGTTATATTGTGTGTACTTCCATAAACCGTTACCGTTTATTTCAGTCAACTAGAAGTAAAAAATTATAAAATAATCACTATAGCTTGCTGGTATCCACAAAAATTTGTATTATAATCACCGATACTAGTTATTTCTGGTAGAGCTGAAAATTGTATTGATATAAATTGTGTGGTCAATCTGATTAACCCGTTAAGTGTGACGTTTTTTAAAACGTTAACTACCCCCTATTGTGTAATTAATTTGACGAAGTGACGAAGAACTATGTGCTATGTTCTAAGAATAGGTTGGGGAAAATACCTCCAAGGCCTTATATTATGCCCTACACACAGTGAGTGGCAGTTGTCCAGGACGTTATATAACGACCTACGCACTTAACGGGTTAAAACACAAATCCTATTTCATTTTGTTTTTTATAGTTCAAAATTTCGTTTTACTTGTCTTCACAACACAAGGATCTGGAAAAGTTGTTGTATAACAGGCGTTCTAGTTGATGTGAGGAATTAGCCAATGAAACAGTCTGTTACGGCAAGTTCTTGGTGTGCTCTGCATGGAACTGTGGGTAAATCCCTAGAAACGTCAATGCTGATTCACAAATCAATGTCTGATGTCACAGGGTCAAAAGCCGCTTGTATGACCCCTGACTTAGGAAATATCATCAGTGAGTATTTTGCCAGGAAGTACAACGAATCATTTATACCAAATCTGCCATACTTTTATTGGAAATAACTACCCTATAAATACTTTTGTGAGAATGAATCTTTAAATTTGAGGTGATCAGCTGAATGAATAACGAGAATGGACTACAAACAATATGCCAATATAAACAAGAAATATTGTAGCTCAGATGTTCACCGGTAGCACAATTTACCAAAATACATCCAAATCAAGGCTCATGTTGTCGCAATTTTCGACAAAAATATGAAAGTGGCGATTAAGATTTGATTTTGGCCATAAAATATTGGGGTACTGGCAATTCTTTTTGAGAACTGGCGAAAAAAATACCTTAAAATTCTCATCATATCCTAGATTGACCATCACATTTCGACTTTGAGTGTCAATCACATGGCGGTATACTATAAATTAATCAACTCGCTGATAATCCGGACCGTGTCAATGAGTAGCCTAATACTTAACAATTGTCTCAAATTAATAATTAGTTGATTGATAATCGCCAATCGCCAGTCATTAGTTAGTCCTACACTCCTAAGGTTTAATCCAAGCCAGTGTGAGCCTTGATCCAAATCCACCCCAAACCCAAGGCTCCACATGGCGACTAAAACACTCGCCATGGCGACCAAATATATTTTCTGGCTAGTTAAAATTAAATGTCTCTATTATTTGACAATGACATGTTAGTCTGTTGATAACAACATACTCTAATTAACTGCACAGAAAACAACTTGACTCTCCCTTTGTTTACGATATCACACTTGGTGGAAGTGGACGTAAAATTCCAGGAATGAAAGAACGAAACAACTGCACAGAGAAAACAACTTTACGTCCCCAAAACTAGTGACAGCCTCTGCCGTTCCACTGAGTATAAAAAAACTGAAAGACATCGGTTTTAAGATTAAAAGTCTTTGAGTCTAATGTATAGAGTACCTTGCTAAATAACAAATGAACCCTTTTTTCTCTGTGAAGGAGTAAATAATGCTTCCCAAATTTTCCGTTTTCTTCGTCTGTTTTTATTTATTTACTTTCCAATTCCTGTTGACACACTTTTCACCGGAAATTGTTGAACAGCGCCCTCTTGGTTTGGTTAACCCTTTGAGCGTACAGCACGCACGCCATCTGAATAAACGACATCAATAACCTTTGGATTGTCCTCAAGTATTTTGTATAAATACAAATAGACCCAATATCACACATTAACCTCTTATGTTGCTTAGCTATTTTTAATTTTATACTCTTATATTGAATTCCATCTGACAAGGGTTCTTTTGCGTGCACAGAATCTCGGTTTTTCGTGCCATCCGAAGGACTATACATTTTCCCCTACCAGGCCACCTGTTCTGCACCACGGACATGGGGGGACCATGCCGGAAAATAAAAATGAACCTTCTACGCTCACACCGGAATCGAACACTGGACCTTCAGGTTAGTGAGCCAACGTCACCGTGGCTCCACGTGGGTAGGCCAATGAACGAATATGGACGCCTGTCACGCGTGTAGAGAATATCAATGCATTGTGTGAAAAATTATGCCTGATATAAATGCCTAAATACAGTTGCTGTTTATAGCGCCACAGGTCAAGTACGTACATTAAATTTTAAATAATTAATTTGAATACATTTTAGCATGGATTAAGTTGCCAAAAATTAGATATTACCCAACAAATGCAGGTTTAGGAACAGCGACTTTAACCTTCAGTTTCGTAATTGTTATGTTCCTTAAACTATTTTTAGGGCGGCGGTGGGGTATTCAAAAAAAAGTCCCTTGTTTAATAAAACATTTATTTACAAAATACGTATTCAATAATGATACAGCTCATTTCATTTATGCTCTTAAATACGGTGACAATAATATACAAACAACACATGCAAGCAACGTCTTGAGTGAGAATTGAAGGTAATCTGCTCCATTCGTATGTTTGCGCTCATATTTAAAACGCGCCAATCCATTGTCGTCGGTTCTAGTTGCTATGGCACCTATATTGCCATTCACAGCAATCCAGATTTCCACTTCTTCGTTGGCAGCACCGTTGATTTCCATATCTATTGTATCAGTAACTGAAATTTGTGTAACTCTTTGGTATGGCATATGGATCCATTTGTCCAATTCACCCAGTATCACAACTTCTTGACCACTGAAACAAAGTTAATTTATTTTTTTTAAATGAGGTTTAACGTCCTAGTTTATTGCACCTATCTGGTTAATGTGCTATGGGGTGGGGGTGGGGGGCTTTTGCCCAGCCAACGGCGCTACGGCGCACTCTTATTTCGGATTCCATATGTCAACGGTCTTTTACGTTCACGCCAACCTGTGCACAGAACCTCGGTTTTTCGTCCTATCCAAACGACTAGACGCCGGTAATTTTCTCGTGGTCGGACCCTGGTTACCAAGCCAACCTGTGCACTGAACCTAGATCTTTCGTTCCATCCAAACGACTAGATGCCGGTAACTTTCTCGTGATCGAACCCTATGACCCTTTGGTTATCACGCCAGAGTAATACGCATTGAGCCACCGGACCCCGTCTCCTGAACAGCAAGTCATACGTACTGTTCTAGGTATATGATATTTAAAGTTTTTCTGGTATTAGACAGTTCCAAGGATCATTTATTACGCGATCACCCAATCCCCATCCTTAGTATCTCCAGTGTGTAGTGGAACGGAATGGCACTACTAGGGATAGCGAGGATGTCCAATCCCCGACAGATCTCTAACGAAACTTACTCAAATTCAATAATAGGAGCCGTATAATACAAACAAAAATTGTCTAAAGTACAATTCTGTAAAGTGAACTTGATGTCTTTAGAAAAGTCATAGAACACGCCCGGTTCATTCCATCTGTATATTTTACTCTTTGGAAACTGCAAAAAGTACAAAATAAAACATGACACAATTTAAATATCTGGAATATTGGTAGCTTGTATGTTAAGATTTGGTGGTGTTTCTACGAGGATTCACTCCTCTTTAACTTAATAGAGATAGTCGAATGTCGCCAGAAACGTCCAGACACCCTGTCATGTTTTTTTTTTCTTAGTCATAGATATTCAAGGATTAAAAAGAGCAGAGTAAGGTAATAAGTTGAATTCATTAGTAAACAAACAATTCTAATATGACATACTAGTTTCATTTTCTTCAGCAATTGATGCAAAGCACGAAAATCGAAATACAATTCCGTTTGGACTTACAGGTGCACCTATTACATATCATCGTTTATACCAAAAACTATAGAAACAATTCCAGTATGACAGTCATGTGGTTTTTAAAACTTTCGCGAATCGAAAATTTTACCACAGACTACTAAAATCAGATTCTTCTTAAGAGGAATTATAGATCTTGCAGCCTGGACTGACACGTGTGCCTGGTAGTTATCAAGACTGGTGATTATAATTATAAATGTTTGTGATCTATGCCTTCACATGCGTCCAGGGATAACATAAATAGGTTCTGTATTAACTGAGTTTCATGGCAAATGAATTGAGGTTTCACGTCTTGCTTTTCTGAACCAACTCGGCTAACTCCGACAGGCAGTGTGAAGTGAGAACAAATTTTGCCCGGACAGCGGCGTTTTCACCTACTTTTTATCGTCTTCCATCTGCCACGGTGGCTCAGTGGGTGCCACGGTGGCTCAGTGGGTGAGACGTTGGCTCGCAACCTGGGGGTCCCGTGTTAGATCCCTTCATTGGCCGAGAAAGTTCATCATCGGGATATTCCGGCGTTTTTCCTCCTTGTCAGTGGCCTTGCCGGACCGGGGGCCTGGCAAGGCACAACGTATAGTCGTTAGGATGGGACGAAAAACCGAGGTTCCGTGTACACATTGGCGTGCACGTAAAAGATCCCTTGGCTGTTGGAATTAGATATAAGAGTTGTTAGGGTAAAATTTCCCTCACAGTATGCCCGTCTTCATTAGCCCAGTCGGAGCAGAACAGTGAGACGTTAAACCCTATTTAATTTCATTTACTAAACGCCAACCAGTACTCGGGAGAAACTAGATTGTACGCCCTATTGTGTAAAGCCTAGACATTTTTCCTAGCTAGGCCGTCCATCATGTACCAATGATTAAGGGGACGATGAACTCTCTCGGTCTACACTGGGATGAAACCGGACTCCCTCGGCGACTGAGCCAGTGCAACCCTTGGCCGCGTCGTGGCGAAACGAACATACACATTTGAATGACACTAACGCGATTAGCACTCGGAATTATCAGAAACTTATGGGGTTTGATATAAAAGAAAAATAATATATCTCCCGTACATCATTGTGAATTTTTGACACATCAAAATTTAAGTGGGTATTTTCTGGTGTGATGTCGAAGGGCTTTGTTAACCCAGCAGCAAAAATAACACCATACGTAGCATTGCCGGAAACAGACATCCCTACAGAGGGTATATTTGTGTATGTAGACCATACTTCACCATCAGGCCCGCTGCCATCTTTAAAAGCCGACTGGAATAAACAATAATGTAAATTTGAACGTATCGCATGTTTATCAATTTACTGGACAATTTGAAAGTTTTAGACTATCGGTTGGATAAGATTTCAAATTACATATCGAATAGGTTCATCGTATTACTGTGTCTCGGTAATTTTCACATTACCCAATATTCAGCTGTGAGCGTGGCCTGAACGTTTAATTAAACATACATTATACACGCGCTAAATCTGCCTATTGCTTGTCTTTCTTTAGGCCTGAAATGTTATATAAACTATTAATTAGACATTTATTAACACGGAAAGACCTTAATCAACTCCCGATGCCATCCTATATGTTGAATATTCAATGGATTTCACTGGATATGCTGCCCTACGCTTATTGGTGATTAAATGCAAAAATGGATAATCGAGACTATGCTTTTTATCGTAGCGACTTTAGTAATGATGAGCGAGGCTAGGCCTTAAATTCAGTCGCTTATATCTCGGTTCAGAGTGGATCAGTGTGACTTAAATTTTCAGCATATTCCCTTTAAAGTATCTATTTTTTAACTATTATAGTGAGAACTGTCAGCTTTTTATCTAATGTCCCATAATGCCTCTTTAATATCTACCGTAGATGGTGGTATAATTACTATTGGGGCAGTGTGACTGAAATTTTCAGCATATTCCCTTTACATTATCTAGTTTTTAACAATTATAATGCCAGCTATTTATTTAATGTTCCGTATCTACCGTAAATATTGTGACCTAATTACTATTGACCAATATTTACCTCTATAATCTGTAAATCTATGGCTTTAGCTGGACGCATTGGTTGTAATAATTTACCATCAGAAGAACAGCACCTGCATGACATTATAGATACATAATACATAACACCGACGACAGTTGAATATAATTGTTTAGTATAACTTTTTAATTAAAATCCGACTTGTATAAAAATTGATTAAAATTAAGAACAGCGCCCTGCATTGGATACAAAAATAATTTATACCAATGACCATCAATAATAAAATGAAATGAACTGGGGACTTAACGTCTTACTTTTCTGCACCGACCGGGATAATGAAGACGGGCATAGTGTACCATGAAGGAAATTATGCTTTGACGCAATGGGTTCCCCGTCTTTCGATTTCCAGCTTACTACGATATGACTTTTAAGGTCTGCCAATAGTATACAGTATACACGGAGGTGATTAAAAACTTACTTTTTGATTATTGAACTGTTAGCAAAGTTTACTCTATCACCGATACCCACTGGGCCTTTAGACAAGAGAGCTACAACCATCTCTAATTCTGGATACGGTTCACCAAGATCTTCAATGAAATAATGGCATGTTGACCGTAATAATGAGATACACAAATATAGAGAGATCTACTAACATACCTCAATATTGACACTGACAAAATGAAATGGGGTTTAACGTCCTACTGTTCGGCTCCGAGTGGGATAATGAAGACGCGGATACGCCATAAAGTGCGCTATGAGGGACATTTTTCCCGGACATAATTGAAACTGCCAAGGGATCTTTTACGTGAACGTCAATGTATACACGGTACCTCGGTTTTTCGTCCCACCCGACCGACTAGAGAGCTGTCCTTGTCAGGTCCTCTGTCCCGCACCACTGACAAGAGGGAATCACATGCTACAGACAAGGGGAACCAGACTGGACTATTCCATCACCACTGACAAGAGGGAATCACATGCTACAGACAAGGGGAACCAGACTGGACTATTCCATCACCACTGACAAGAGGGAATCACATGCTACAGACAAGGGGAACCAGACTGGACTATTCCATCACCCGCTACTCTCTATTCATGTACACTACTAAGACACGTAGTTAGAAGTGCTGTATTTGATCGCGGTTCAATAATGACGCCTTGTCCCGGTGTTATGGAACAAACTTCCGAAACAAGATGGTCTTATACAATTTTAACAATGACCATGTTCAGCTATCAGTAAGGGACCTCAGAAGTGGCTTGAGCTTACGCTGATTAAGTACGTCAGATCTGCGGTGTCTCGTCGTTACTACATGGAATTCGGGTGACTAGGTACTCTACTGTAGCGAGGTATCCTGATAATATACCATATAGAATTGTTATATACTTTGAATTGGACCTTTGTAGATTTTTGTATTAATTTCGTTTTTGGTTTTCGTCAGTCATGAAGAAATAAGACAAGAGACGATAACAGTGCATGTAGTGCTGACTCTCATAACTTGATTACGCCAAGACGCCAGGTGTCGGATGTATAAGCATCAACTGTCACATGGTCGCAGTGTTTAGACCTAGAAATGTACAGAAACTAAGAACTTTAAAGGGTTAAACGCTTACCTGATCCGTTGTGACTCGTTCTAAATGAATCTTTATTGGGGACCAAATTTAATGCATCAGCAAAAATCGAAGAAATGCCAATTTTCCATTGATCTTTATTTTTACCGTAATCTGGACTTGCTCTCGTCTGAGTTATACAAAATGACAGAGTACATCACCGAGTTAATATGCTCTTTATAAATCATGCAATTCCTTTTTTGCAAACGTGCTTGTTACAAGGTAGTGCCCTATCATGTTATTATCGCCGGGGTCATTCAAACCTTGTAACCACTGTGTGGGTCAGAGTTTTTGAAATATTAATAGGTGCGTTTTTTAAAAAAAAAACACACCTTAAAATCAAATTTTTGTCTGCGATATCACCTCGGTGGAAGCGGACGTAAAATACAACTAACTAACAACAACAACGTGGTATAAAATTCAAACCATTCGAACCCTTACCTCATGTACCCTATATTCGCTCATAGCGATACCGTGTGAATAATAGTCTGGCTAAAAACATAGGGGATTGGTCGATATTCAATTTTCGTATGCTTTGTTGAACGAAATTATCTCGTATTCTCGATTGCCACCTATACATGGATGGAGAAAATTCAGTTTCGGAATCTTCATTTGGGTATCCCCAAGGACCAACGAATTATTTAATTATGGAGTATCCACAAGGACCAGCGAATTATTTAATTATTTGCCATTGGCCATTCTTTGTTTTATTCGAAATAACTCCAGATCTTCTATAACATACCAGGGTAGAGCCCCCCCCCCCCCCCCCGACGCCTCCTTAAAGCAGTTTCGCGAAACTGAAAATAGCCTACTCCAAAACCGAAAGTAGTAGATGTTAATCCATGATTAATATATGTTTACCTGTGTTACAGCTGGTAGTAATAATGATTGAAACAGATGCCTAGGATAAGCATCAGAATATAGAATATTGATATTATTTCTAACAGCAGCATCATTCATCTGTTGTAACCAGGTTGACCCTGCAGTTACATCCTGTTTTGTAACATTCATATTCATAAATGTTTCGTCCATCCCATCCTAAAAAAATACAAAAAAAACCCCTCTTAAACCCTTAATGATCATTTTATAATTTCGGAAATACAGTCATTTACTTCTTAATGTGTGTGCAGCGATACGGTGGCTCTGTGAGTAGGACGTTGGTTCACTAAACATGATGTCCTGGGTTGGATCTCGATGTTGATCGCAAAAAGATTCTCGATATTTTCCAGGGACCTTGGCAAGGAAACGCCTCTTATATCACTGGTAAACTGATACCGTTTACTTATGAACCTGGGTCTTTTAGTAATGACAATTTTTGCCATTAAATTAAAAACTTGACACTGATGAATTTCAACAAATTTTTTTTTCTGGTAAGTCAAATAAATTATAAAGTGTTTCTAACGATAGTAAGTAGTAAGAAGCCTTTAATTTCATAAAATTGTAAAGTCACATGGATCACGTGACTTTTGAGCCTATAAAGATGAAAAACCTGAAAAACACGTGCAAACACAAACTCGTGAGGTCAATCGATGCAAGTTTGCTTAAACTGAACACGCACACGTAACTTGAACTGGAAAAACAAATTAAAATTGTTATTTTCATCTTTGTTAGAAAATGCCGCACCTTTCAAATGTAGAACGTCTACGTGCTATAGGTAGGCTCTATGCTGGTCAGTCTGTGGTCACTGTTGCAAGAGCCTTTAATTGTTCACGCCAGACAATAATTAATCTTAGAATGTGTGTGCTTCAAACTGGAACTATTGCCGACCGCCCAAGGGCGGGAGCGCCACGTGTGACGTCACTCCAGGAAGATCAAGCAATACGATTACGTCATCTTAGAAACAGATTTGTCACTGCAACCTCCACAAGTAGAGAGATGTTTGGTGGACGGGTAACTGCACAAACTGTTCGAAATCGGTTGCAGGCTGCTGGTCTTCGAGCTCGGAGGCCCTATAATGGATCAATATTGACACCTCTTCATCGCCGTAACCGACTTGTGTGGGCCACAAGACACATAAGATTTACTCAAAGACAGTGGAATTCGGTTGTCTTTAGTGACGAATCTCGATTCACTTTGAGATTTGCCGATGGCAGGGTCCGAGTGTACCGCAGACGAGGTGAACGTTACGCTCAAGTATGCGTCAGAGAAGTTGACCGATTTGGTGACGTTGCAGGCTCTTCAACATGCTCTTGCACAGTTTTATGCACCTAGTTAATGACTTCTGCCTGATTACTAGCAATTATAATGAACTAATAAACATTATGTATATAAAATGACGTCTTTGATCTGCTAGTGTCTTATAGATTTATTTATAGAAGTTATTTGACTACGATATGGGGGATCACGTGACTAAGTGGGTAAGACGCTGGCTCACTAGCCTGCATTGGCAGAGAAAGTTCATCCAGATTTTCCGGCATGGCCCCCCCTTGTCAGTGATGCAGGACGGAGGGCCTGACAAGGACAGCTGTCTAGTCCTTCGGATGATACGAAAAACCGACGTCCCATATATACATTGGAATGTACGTAAAAGATCCCTTGGCAGTTGGAATTCGATATAAGAGTAGGCGATAGTGCCGCTGCCGGGGCAAAATTTCCCTCATAGCACACTGTATGGCGTATGCCCGTCTTCATTAGCCCAGCATAGGAGCAGAATAGTAGGACGTTAAACCCCATTTCATTTCATTTCATTTATTAAATTTATAGTGTATATTTTAGTCACCGATAGATTGAAACACCAAAGTCTGATTGTATACCATTGATATCACGTTAACGACCCCTTGACAGTGGTAAAAAAAACATAAGAGTACACCAGTGTGAATAATGTTTTTGAACATTCATGGTAGAGATCTGTTCTAAAAGTAGATTGTTCTCTGTGTGCCGAATGATCATACAGTGCACCACCATTTCCTCTGATTGAGACGACTGGGGCCATCAAAGATGTCGTAACATCTATAACAGAATATCAATGACGTCATATATATATATATATAGAGTAAAATACCTGATCATAAGTTGTTAATCCCCATTGAACAGCAGTTTTAAATAAATCATCCCAAAATGTCTGGAAAAGGGGTATACATGTTACATTAATAAATGTATTATAACTTAGACATAATAAACTGTAAATGCTATAATAAAGAACAAACCTTCAATATCAGAGAGCGAAAGAGAGAGAGAGAGGGGGGGGGGACTAACATATGGTTAAACTTTATTCCATTAATTCGCTTGAGCGTAGGGGTCTTTAGTAGAAAACCTACGAGATTGGACAGGCGACCCTACCCCTTGTCGCGTACAAGCTGGGAATCGAAAACACTCCACTTGACTCAATGACAGGCCTAACGATGCCACGAGTACGCGATAACCATTCGGCCACCCCACCCCCTCAATAGCGAAAAGACAAAACAGAGTCAATTTATAGAAATATCAATAGCGAAGTGGTATCAGGTGTTCTAGAAAGAATAAACATACCCGGTACCATTTACAACATTAAGCCGCGGTGGCTCAGTGAATAAGACGTTGGCTCGCTAACCTGGATGTCACGTATTCGATCCCGGTGATGACCGAGAAAGTTCATCAAGATCTTCTGGCGTGGTTACCCCTTGTCAGTAGTGCCGCACGGAGGGCACGGCAAGAGACGAAAAAGCGAGGTCCCGTGTACACATTGTCGTGCACAATGGCAGTTAGAATTCGATTTAATAAAAGACCGTAGAGTTGGTGCTGAACGGTAAGACGTTAAAAACCTTTCACCACAACTATTTTAACCCAATGTGATCATTATTTTCGTTTTAATTGTAGGTTTGTAAATTCTACCTGGTCGAAAGGAAGAGCAATGGGACCATCTATAATAAAACCATACTTTCCACCATTCTGCGTGGCATAAACATTATCAGCAGACCTATAACAGAGAATAATATCACGTCACAAGAGGTGACCGGTATTTCCCCAATTATAAAAGAGATAACATCTTCACAAGAGGAAACGGGCATTTCCCTAAATTATAATATTGGATAATATCGATGCATGAGGTGAAGGATATTCCCCATATTATAAGTGTAGGATAAAGCAAGAGACTGGGGTTATGCTGGGGAAAGAAAGACTGAAGAAAAAACCCGAGATAAAGAAAAACCGAGGTCGCCAGGCCGAGGTTTTTTTTTCTGAAGTCTTTCTTCCCCAGCATAACCGAAGTCGAGGACTTTATCTTGCTTATAAACCGTCTATGTTTACATGTACGCAAGATTAGAATATCCCAGAATTCTCGTAAGAAAAACCTTATATCATGTTTTCTTATGGGAAAAAAACTATCCTGGAAGAATAACCCGTTACAGGATTAAAGAAAAACTTTCAGAGGAATAACCCAAAATTTCCCTGTATATATATATATATATATATATCCAAAGCCGCCCCGACTTTCAAACCGCAAGTTATTCTGGTCATAGAATATACCCCAAAGATCAAAGAGATTTACTGTTACATGTTTATAACATAGGATAATATCGTCGCAAGAGTTTACGGGTATTCGCCATATTATTACAGAGAATAATATCGTCTCACGAGCGAGGAGACGGGTATTCCGTCAAATTATAACAGAGAATAATACCACCGCAAGAGGAGGAGGGTATTCCCCCAAATTATAACGCAGGATAGTATCATCACAAGATATCAGAGAATACAATCGTCTTATGAAGAGATGAGTATTCTCCTAATTATAACAGAGAATAATATCGTCAGAAGAGGAGATGGGTATTCCCCAAATTATAACAAACAATAATATCATCACAAGAGGAGGCGGGTATTCCCCAAAATTATAACACAGGATAGTATCATCACAAGATATCAGAGAATACAATCGTCTCATGGGGAGACGGGTATTCTCACGAGAGGAGGCGGGTTTTCTAATAATTATAACAGAGAATAATATCGTAACAAGAGGAGACGGGTATTCCCCAAAATTTATAACAGAGCACAACGTCGTCTCGTAACGGATATTCCCCTAAATTATAATGTACGATAATATGGCCATACTATCTCACGGATTTACATTGCAGGTATTGGACATGGTTTGAGTTGTAAAGATTAATGAAAATAGGCTGTTTACGGTTATTGGTGGATCCATAACGGAACGCAATCTGTTATACGATCTTAACACAGATTTTATCTATAGAGTTAAACAACAAAATATAATACTTTGGATCCACACCAAAGAGGTCTATTCATTTTAGTAAAATATTGAACTCACCAGACTCCACTGTACATCATGAATTTTAACTTTGTCGCTGTTTCTAATCCTCTGTAATATAAACAAATAAAATAGGGTTTAACGTCCTACTGTTCTACTCTTGACTGGGCTAATGAAGACCGGCATACGCCATAAAGTGTGCTATGAGGGGAAACTTTTGGGGACATCGGCGCTACGGCCTACTCTTATATCAAATTCCAACTGTCAAGGCCTTTCATCTTCACGCCAATGTGTACACGGAACCTCAGTTTTTCGTCTCATCCGAATGACTTTACTTTGTTTTTTGCCATGCACTCTGTCCTGCATCACTAACAAGGCGGAACCACGCCAGGCAATTCAAATAAAGTTTCGAACGAGGGACCTCCAGGTTAGCGAGCCAACGCCCTACTCACTGAGCCATCGTGACTCCGCTTTGTAATATAAACAAATAACTCAAATAACTGGGGTACTGGTACCGCTTTAACTTTCGAATCTTTGATTTTGTAGTTTCACTTACGCCATTCCTTGTGGTAGAGCTGTCAAGTCAGCTTTCCAATCTTTTATATTACTACCATTTTTGATACACCACCAGGAATCAAGTTGAAAATATCTGGAATATAACAGATTTATTCAAACACAAAATATCTGGAATATAACAGATTTATTTAAAACACAAAATATCTGGAATATAACAGAGATATAAAATATTTGGAATATAACAGAGATATTGAAAAACATAAAGTATCTGGAATGTAATAAAAATATTGAAAACACATAATATCAGGAATATGATAAACATAAAATATCTGGAATTAGACAGAAATAGTCAAAACACAAAATATCTGGTACATGATTTTGAAAAGACAAAATATCTGGAATATGATACCAATATTGAAAATATAAAATATCTGGAATATGATAGAAATATTCAACACGGAAATTATCTGGAATATAACAAATATATCTGAAATTGACAGCATAAAATATCTGGAATATGATCAAAATATTGAAAGCACAAAATATCTGGAATATAATAAATTATATTGACAATACAAAATATCGGGAATGCAAAACCAGTGTTTCATAATTTACCTTTTAAAACCAATTATGATCAAACATTTAGAGATTCGTGTGCTGGTAAACAGGTCTATCGGTTGTGCATTGTCAGAGTCTTTAGGGGTCTTTACGACTTTAGCAGTGGGATGAAACCGGGGGACCCGGAGGAAACCAACAAGGTTGGTCAGGCGATCCTACTCCTTGTCACATACAACCGGGAAATCGAAACCTCGCCAGTTGACTCAATGACAGACCTTATGATACAGCGCGCACGTACCAACCATTCGGTCATCCCCCCCTCCCTTCAATCATTTGCATTTTTCGGACAATATCTATTTTTTACGACCTAATCCGCACTTAAAGATACTCAAATCGATTATCTAAATTTAATTCAATATTCGTATTTCTAATTAAAATAATCATCCAACATAGTTTACGTGAATAGAAATGCCAATATACTTACGTATAGGGTACTTTCGTTACCGTCTGAGCTTGTTGTTGCACTTCAACTATTGTGTCGGCATACGTTTTACCTTGTTCTGGACCATTTGCATAATATGAACCTTTAAAGAGAAGAAATTGGGTTTAATGTCTCGTTAACACTATACTTCGGTCATTTTGAGACTAACATACGGTTCCATACTCTAGGTAATCGTCATGTTCATTTAACGACGGGAGGAGTTGAGGGTGGTGCGCGTTGGTTCATTAAATCAACTGGTGTATTTTCGATTCCCCACTTGTACTAGAGGGATAAAAGTAGGGTTGTCTTTCCAACCTCGTGGGTTTTCTCCGGGTCTTCCGGTTTCCTCCCACAGCTAAAGACCCCCACACATAAGCAAATTATTGACATAAAATTGAACAATATGTTAGTCTCGAAATTCCATAGACATTGTTGAACTACAAATGTACCATATGTTAGTTCCAAGCATATTCCAGTTATAGTTACTATATGGTAATCGATCTCGGTGGATCTCGGTTTTTCGTCCCATCCGAACGAATATGCAACACTTCACTTTTTAGTTTCGTGTGTTTTACCTCTGATAAGTAAAAACCGGGGGTTCTAGTCTACTCGGCAGGGATTCATAGCTGGAACATTCTGGTTGAGAGTTCAGTACCATTTCCGCTTGACTAATATTAATGTTTGACACAGTGCTCCATAACTTTCATCAAAGTTAGCTTATATTCTCTCATATATAATATTAACATTTATGTAGATGCAATGAACTAATTGAACCCCATATGTTATTAATCTACGATATAATATATACTGACCACTACATATATACACGTCCACTACATATATGCACGTTGCACGTATTTAATTACATACTTAATCAATCCCACATATACTGACAATGCTGTTTATTAAATAGAATCTCACAGTCAGCTATACGAAGGTATATATAAGACCTTGTGGTTTCTGTAGTTGTCTGCGATAACACCTCGGTGGAAGCGGGCGTAAAACACAACTAACTCATGATCACACACTGTAGTTAAAGAGACTTGGTTAGAGACAGACTTAAAGGAGAGCGGAGACTAGCGGCGACGAGCATATAGATTCACCATATCTCAGCCGCTGCCATTGCAGAATGGTTGCCGTGTTATAGTCATGTACCATGTCAATGTTATTGTTTGTGTTCCTATATATTTTTGCCCCTGTTTGATTGATGTTCCTGATGTCTTTAAGTCCCTGTTTGATTTACGTTCAGGTGTATGTTTCTGTTCCCGATGTAAATAACTGATCCTACTAATAGCGATACAAATGAAATGGAATTTAACGTCCCACTTTTCTGTACAACAGGGGTAAAGACGACGTGCATTATCTATGCGGTGAGCTAAGGTGGGAATTTTGCGCTGACAGCGGCACGACGTCCTACCCGTCTTTCTATTTGGGGTGGGGGGGGGGGTCGAATGGTTAGCGTGTACGCGCTGCATCATAAGGTCTGTCATTGAGTCAACTGACGTGGTTTCGATTACCCGGCTGTACGTGACAAGGAGTAGGGTCACCTGTCCAACCTGGTGGGTTTTCTCCGGGTCCCCCGGTTTCTTCCCACTGCTAAAGACCCCTACGCGCAAGAGAATTATTGAAATAAAATTGAACCATATGTTAGTCCTGAAATGACATAGTTTGTGTCGAGTGGACGTTAAACTCCATTTACATTATCTAGATTAAATTGAAAGTAGAGATATATCTGAAAGTGTTTGTACATACCGTCACCTGTCCAATAACCAAGATATTGTGTTGTAATATCTTTATCGGCGGTGCTAAAACTCTTTGTGTTATTATAATACTGACCACCAACAATTACTCCCCACGCGCTCATTGCCTGGAATATATAAACATTCTTATATGTATCCTTAAAGAGGCAGCGTTAAAAGCATTATGCAAGATTTCGATAAAGAGCTGACAGTTCTCTCTATAATACGTAAAAATAGATAATGTAAAGGGAATATATTCAAACTTTCGTTGCTACGATAATAAACAAAGTCCCAATTATCCATGTTCAATTAATATCAACTGACGACTGTGTTTATACGAGAGGTTTCATCAGATGTTCCACGAGAGGTGGTTTTAGGTATACGAGAGATGGTGTTAGTTGTTTTAAAGCGAGTTGTATCAGAGATGATATCAGGTGTTCTAAAGACAAGTTGTGCGAGATGTGATATCAGCTGCTCTAAGGACAGGTTATACGAGATGCGGTAATTGATGTTCTAAAGGCGAGGTATGCAAGAGGTTGTATCAGATGTTCTATGGACAAGATATACGAGAAGTGGTGTACGAGATGTTGTATCAGATGTTCTAAAGGCGAGGTATACATACTGCCATTGAAACATCCCTTGGCAGTTGGAATTCGATATAAGAGTAGGCGATAGTGCCGCTGCCCGGGCAAAATTTCCCTCATAGCACACTGTATGGCGTATGCCCGTCTTCATTAGTCCAGTAAGTAGCAGAACAGTAGGACGTTAAACCCCATTTCATTTCATTTCATTTCTACTTACCGCGTTTATTCCCGTGTTATAATTTATAAATGTCTGATATTCAAACTCTCGTTGTATACCATCCAATCCACCCATTAATCCCCAATAGATATAGTTATTAGTTTTATCATGCCACATGGATGTCACCATAAATCTATCAAGTGGTGTTATCACGGCTGTCTTTCCTGTATTGTCAAATATTGCTAATGGTCCTGAACCTTCTAAGCCATCAGGTATGGTTGCTGTGTTGTCAAATCTGTAGTAAAATAGAGTGTATATATTAACACTTCTAGAAATTATCAAAAATAGAGGATCCCCGGCAACAAACTTCACAACACTGTGTAGTTGGTTTAAAAAATTATAATCTAGGTCTGGAACATGTTTCGGGCTGTGTTAGCATGGGTCTATGTTTCCAGCGGAACCGTGGCTCAATGGGTAACATCGCGATCCGGAGTGTTGGTACGAGAAGTTTCCTCTGGATTTTCCACCATGGTTTTATCTTATCAAAAATTCAGAACGAAGGGGAATTTTTTCAGGGGAGATACGTTTCGTGCTACTCTTTATGGAATTCCAACTGTCAAGTGTTCGTTTACGTACATGCGTTTATTCCGTCCCACACAGACGACTAGACGCTGTTCCTTTCCAGTAAGGGGATCACGTGGCTAAGTGGGTAAGACGCTGGCTCGCTAGCCTGGAGGTCGGGTGTTCGATCCCTGCATTGGCCGAGAAAGTTCATCCAGATTTTCCGGCGTGGTTCCCCCTTGTCAGGGATGCAGAACGGAGGGCCTGACAAGGACGGCTGTCTAGTCCTTCGGATGATATGAAAAACCGAGGTCCCGTGTATATATTGGAATGCACGTAAAAGATCCCTTGGCAGTTGGAATTCGATATAAGAGTAGGCGATAGTGCCGCTGCCCGGGCAAAATGTCCCTCATAGCACACTGTATGGCGTATGCCCGTCTTCATTAGCCCAGCATAGAAGCAGAACAGTAGGACGTTAAACCCCATTTCATTTCATTTCATTTCATTTCCAGTAAAGGAAAACCAGTCTGATGTCAACGTGGGTCCAACTAATCAGCATCTTCAGTGTACCAAGCTCGTAACCATTGCTCCAGGTATATCCTTATCCAAATGTCGAATCTTGTTTTGTTACTCAAAGTTTAGGTAATACATGTTTATATTGAAAACTTACCTGCCCATGGATTTATCAGTATCGCCTGTAAAATGACCACCGAATCCCAAATATCCTAAATCCGTTCTTGGCGTACCAACTTTAAATCCAGGAAATCCACAAATAATCTGATTTTCATCAGCGGATTTTGTTCCCGTTGCGCCATCCACATAATTCTGTATATAAATTTAATTTAGAAGTTATTTAATAAATGAATGAAATTGTTTGATTTTGTTGACGATAAGTTTAGATAAAAAATAAGATAAAACCAAATACGAACAATCCAAACCATTAGACAAAATTCGAAGTCCTAAAAAAGCTGTATAGGCAAAATAGTGTAATCGAACAAAATAATGCATAATAAATATTATCGGGAACCATAAGGGTCGATATTCGGTAATGAAGATTCTAAGCATTCTAACTTTCCCCAGAATTCTAAATTAGGAAGTATTGCACGGTGCACCAGAGACTCGTTTGTAAGAAGAGCGCCATTTGAGTCATTTTTGATCCCTTGAAAACTAAATTATTCTGGAAGTTGAATCTCCACAAGGAAGCCTACCAGTCCTTCAAATACGTTCAGAATATTCAGAAAAATATGATTAATTAACAATTTATCAAAATTCAGCACCTACAGTGCAGACAACAATGGGTCTCTTTTTAAGACTGGAGATTATCTATCGTTGATGTTTTGATTTCGTCGGTTGTAGGCGGGGGCGCGGGGGGGGGGGGGGGGTCTATGGGGAGGTTCATGTGCTAAAGCGGTATTTCCATTCACGTAAATCAAACACAATCAGAAATACGATTTGACCCCATTTTATTTATACCTAGTGAACACCATTAGCTATCACTATGGACCTTTATCTATTTGTTGATGTATTAAATATAGATAAGTATATTTACCACTGAAAACGACACAACACCGTAAGAGTAGTTTCTCGCACTAGCGATGATGGTGGTAAAATTGGCGTCATAATAGATATCTCGTGACGTCCAAGGACCAAATGCATCTGTATTTCCACTGTTCTCAGTGACATTTATAAGTTTAAGACTGCCATCAGCTGTTGAGTAGGTTTTTCCGCCCACTATAAAAAAGGGTGGGGCTCCTTCAAGGAGAACTGTTTCAACAAATGACACCATATAATTACCAGCATCATCGACATGCACGTTCAGTGCGAGGTTGGCCTCCACAGAACCTAATTAAAAGAGAAACATGGAATGGGATTTATGGTGTTTAACTGCCCCAAATACCCGGGATAACGAAGACGGACATACGCCATGTAGTGTGCTATGAGGGGAAATCTCTCAAGACACAGGCGCTTCCGCCTACTCTCCCTCGAATTCCGACTGTCAATGGTTCTTATACGTGCACGCCAACGTGGAATACGTTACTACCGTTCGATGTGCGTTTAATGTTTTGTTGTCAACTCGCCTTCATTAGCCCAGTGCAAAACAGTAGGACGTAAAACCCCATTTCTTTTCTTTGCCATCAAATTTTGGTCGTCAGGTGACAAATAAACTTTGGTATGCGCAGGGCTTAAGACTTCTATATCTGACCTATGAATCGACATATCATCAGTCAAATCAGGTAAAATCCGTTACATGTGCGGAAAGGTTGCCAACAGGTGCCCTCTATGATATAAAGCTAACCTTACCTGGACAGTGGAGTAGAATATAAGTACATATTATACACCAAAGATACTCCATTTTAAATACTTGTCGGACATATGACCATGTATATTGCTATCAAATAACTCACCACGGCCAATCAATATCATGTGAATTAATGATTAGATATCTTATCGCCACTCCAAGATAAAAAATGATGTCTCTTATTATTGTTATGTGTCAGAGAAAATCCAAGTCCGACGTTTAAATGGGAAAAGATAAGCTTTCGGTGGGTGTGTGGGGGGGGGGGGGGGTGAAAGGGGGTTTAACGTCAGACCTTTCCTATCCACACTAGACTAATACAGACCGGCTTACGCCCCCTGCACTGTGGTCTTAGGGAGAAATTTCGCCCAGGCAGTGGCATTTCCGCCTCTTCTTCGTCAAGGGCTCTCCTTTTATGGACCCATTTCTATTTATATTGAACCCAATTCGACGTATCTACGTTGCGGGTGGGGGGGTAACGCATGCGCATTGGATCATAAGGTATGTCATCAAGTCAAGTGGCGTGGTTTCGATTCCCTGCTTGTGCGTAACAAGGAATAAGGTCGCCTATCCAAAATCGAGGGATTTCTCCGGGTACTCCGGTTTCCTCCCACTGCGAATTATTGAAATAAAATTGAACCATATCTTAGTCCCGAAATGACCTAGAGTGGACGGTAAACCTCTTTCTGTCAATGTTATCTACCACAATCACTTAGAGCACACTGCATGACAAATGTTCGCTTCATTATTCCGGTTGTTTCACAGAAATATGACTTTTAACGCAACTTCATTTCAATATACTCTCGAGATATGTTAGATAAAATGCCGTGGGTTGATTTTGTATTACTGACATCGGTTGTTGTTGTTGTTGGCGAGTTTTTGGCGTGGAAACAAATATGACAATTGTACTGAAGTCCAACATCTAATTTCAACCGGACAGAATATTTATCAAGCGCATGCCTTAATACTTCATCACATGTTAATACAGAAAATATGCCTCTCGAAGAGCATCGCCCCCAAGAAGAGTAGCAAGATGAATATATAGCGATTAGGGATTAGCTTCTGGTCCAAAAATGGTTCATCGAACAGGGTACGATGCTATCCTCACAATTTCTTGTTAACTAAAGACAACAAATCTAATGGATATTTATTTACAAAATGGTGTTTATTTTACATCTGTACAGTATCTAAGTGTATTTACATTCTAACATTTAAACTTAATGCTACAACAACACAATATATTAATGTTGTTACCACACTGCCAACATGGTATGCACCATTGGATGGTTTATGTTTGCGTTCATATTTAAAAAAGGCGACCCCACTATCGTTGGCTCTAGTTGCTATGGCTCCTATGTTACCATTGACAGCAATCCAGATTTCTATTTGTTCATTGGGGGCGCCATTAATTTCCATTTCTATTGTATCTGTAACGGTTATTTGCTTAACTCTTTGGTATGGCATATGGATCCATTTGTCTAATTCACCTAATATAACAACTTCTTGACCACTGAAAGATATAATATTTGATACGTCTAATATATAAAATATATTCAAAGGTGCAGTTTGTACTTTTGGATTGGGCTAAAATAAATTAAGTCAACCAATTTACTTGTTTTCGTACACGTAAAGGAACACTTGTCAGTTGAAATTCTATAAAGAGTAGACGGAACGAAATAAAATGGGGTTTAACGTCCTACTGTTCTGCTGCGACTGGGCTAATGAAGACTGGCATACGCAATACAATGTGCTATGAGGGAAATTTTGCACGGGCAGTGGCACTATGGCCTACTTTTATATCGAATTCCAAATGCCAAGGTAAGTTTTACGTGCATGACAATGTATACACGGGACCTCGGTTTTTCGTCCCATCCGAAGGACTAGACAGTTATCCTCGTCAGACCCTCCGTCCTGCACCACTGACAAGGAGAAACTACGCCGGAGGAATTCCATAAAGAGTAGACGGAACGCCGCTGCCACCTAGCACACTGCATAGGCTTGTGGCTACCCGTCTTCATTATCCCGGTTGGTGCAGAATGGTAGACCATTATCATTTCCATTACGTGGTTAAAAATGAGCTTCTCTGACAGAAAACGAATCATCCCCGAATAGCTCCCTTAATGGCGGAACAAACTGAACCAAAGGGTATTATTAAAGGGAGAGAAAATGAGGTTTAACGTCCACTTACTACAAGTCAAAACGCTGAGTAAATGCGTTATTTGCTATTTTTGGTATGACAAGTTCTATAATACTATATTGGTGAAAGGACAGCAATGTTCTAAGAACCTGGCGGTACTTACTCGAATTCAATAATAGGGGCTGTATAGTA